GGGGGAGACCAGACACAAGGAGACGGGAGGCCATGCCTCTGAGCCGAAGGAGAGAGGGGTGACCCAGACGGTGGTGCCAAAGGAGAGTCTCGTGAGACAGGCGACGACACGAACAGGGGGCAGACTCAGGACCAGACCTGGACGCTGCAGCAAACACCTGACCTGACGAAGGGACCCTGCCAGACTCAGGAACTTGAGGAGAAGCAGTGGTCAGTGTGTACAGGCTCGACCCTGGCTGACGTGTAAACGTAGCCAGGTGACGACCTGTGCTAGCCTCTGTGCAGTGCGTCGCCCTCTGCCGAGCAGGGGTGAACTGGTGGACTCCCGCATCTTGTAGGTCAGCACCACTCACCAAGTTCGTAGAGAACGAGGGGAGGTAGAGACCAGACAGGGTGCCAGAGGGAGCCGCCGGACACGGTACGACTGTGGAGAAGCGAGACAGAACAGGACCCCCAGAGGGGTCAGCCAGGGACACCGCAAGCGGCCGACTGAGCGGCGTGAGTGTGGTGCGGTCCCGAAAGAAGGAGCGAGACGCTCCAGAGTCAAGGGTGAAGGTGTGGGAGGCCGAAGCCGACGCAGTACCTGAGAGCGCAGACTCACTAGTACCTGAGAGAGCAGCCTCACCAGTACCTGAAAGGACAGACGCACCAGCACCTAGAGCAGAGGCCTCACTGACACCTAGAGAAGCAGTACCAATGCCCGGGTCGGGCGGGAACCACCGGTAACAGTCACCCTCATCACTAATGGTCACAGCATACATGGCAGCAAGGATAGCATCAAAGTCAAGATCAAAGATAGCTACCCGAGCCCTAGACAGCTCTCCCCAGCGGGGGATCTCCGCGGCCTCCGGGAACTGCTGGCGCCAAGCGTCCGTCAGGCGGCCAAAGCAGCGCTGGGCGGTGTGGGTACCCCCACACTGCTCTCCAGCACGGTCGCCAGTGCGAAGGACGTAGGTGCAGGGACCAAAACCCCCACCACGCTGACGCTGGGTGTACCACTCACGGAGCTGCTGAGGCGTCGGGAGGTCGCGAGAACGCTGCTGCTGCTGTTGCTGCTGCTGCTGGCGCTGACCACCCCCAGTGCTGCTCCGCTGCGAAGCGCCACTCCGACCACCTCCACGACTGCTACCGCCACCGCCACCACCGCCCCCGCCTCCGCCTCCACCGCCGCCGCCTCCGCCACCTCCGCTCCCACCGCCACCGCCGCCGCCACCCCCGCCCCCACTGCCGCCACTAGCACCCCCACCCCCGCCACCACCTCCACCGCCACCCCCACTCCCTCCGCCGCCTCCACCGCCACCTCCACCGCCCCCGCTGGCCCCACCCGCTCCCTTGCCCCCCTTGCCCTTGCCAGAGCGGCGTCTCCCGCTAGGGGCAGACGCCGCACCGACCGACTCAAGACCAACGAGGTCGGCCGCAGCGGCAGAGGTGACAGAGGGCAGGAGAGGGGAAGGAGAACACCCCTCAAAGATGGGGGCGCGGGGGTCACCTCGACAGGCTCCTACAGCGACTATGCTCTTCTCCGCCGCTAGGAAGGCCTTCTCGAGGCTGTCTACTGTGAGGGTGGTGGGACAGATCGCGAGGAAGTGGTCCCGGACTACACGAAGGGAGTCAGGGAGGCGAGTGACTAAAAAGTAGAGAGTGATGTACATGGGGGGGGGGTTCTTGGCGCAGAAGTCAGCAGGAAGCGCAGCGCGGTAGCGAGTGTCACTAGTGCGGAGGTGCGGAACAAGGTCAGCGACAGTGGGAAAGGCGGCAAGGTCAGGGAAGAGGAAGGGGAGCATGAGGTGGCTCAGTGCAGCAGTGGCAGGGGAGGAGTAGCGCGCAACTACAGCGTCGTACAAGGTCTGGGCACTCTTGTACTGGCTAAAGTGCGCGCGCTCAGCGGTAGGCAGGTGGCGACGCACAGCAAGACGTGCAGCAGCATCGCGCGTGGCCCACTGTGAGCGAACAGTGGCGTCAGCATCAGCAGCAGAGGCAGGGACGGCGCCAGAGGTGAGGTCAAAGAGAGAAAGACCGTCTGCCCTATCGCACTGTAAGAACAGCTGCAGGTCGTCGAGCCAGACCTCAAAGTCAACGGCACGACCCTCAGCGTCAAAAGCTAGGACACTAGGGGTAGCCATGACGACAGACTAGTGGTGCAAGCAGTGCGGGAGGGGGGGGCACGCAGTAGCAGTGGAGCTGTGCTCACCAGACAGGACAGGTCGGGCAGCTCAGCAGCACAGGAACACGGCAACACAGTAGCTCCGTCGGTCCAGCAGCAACAGTAGCCCCAGGACCAGCAGCTCGGCTCCCCAGGCGGCTCGGGCTGGTCGGGCGGCTCGGGCGGCTCGGGCGGCTCGGGCGGCTCGGGCGCTCGGCGGTACAGGCGGCTCGGGCGGCTCGGCTTCTTCGCTGCGTAGGCGGCTCGGGCGGTCCGGGTGACGCTGGTGGCACGGGCGGCTCGGGCGTCGAAGGGCCGGGACAGCGTGGCGCGAGGGCGGCTGGGAGCGGGACCGGGGTGAGCGGCTCACGGGTGGCTCGGGGCCGGGACTGGCGGCTCACGGGCGGCGCACAGGTAGTTCACGGCCGGCTGCACGGGCGGCCCACGGACGGCACGGGCGGCTCACGGGCGGCACGCTGGGCGGCTGCACGGGCGGCTGCACGGGCGGCTGCACGGGCGGTTGCGTGGGCGGCAGCACGGGCGGCTGCACGGGCGGTTGCGTGGGCGGCAGCACGGGCAGCTGCACGGGCGGCTCACGGGCGGCTGCACGGGCGGCACGTCGAGCAGCTGAACGCACGGGCGGCAGCAAAGGCAGCTGTACGGGCGGCCGCACGGGCGGCTCGTCGGGCGGTGCAGCGGCAGCTCACGGGCAGCTGCACGGGCGGCGCGTCGGGCTGCTGGGGGCGACGCACGGGCGGCTCACGGGCGGCGCGTCGGGCTGCTGGGGGGCGACGCACGGGCGGCCAGCTGACGGGCGGCTCTGGGCGGCGCGCGGGCGGCTCACACGAGCTGCTCACGGGCTGCGTAGGGCGGCGCGCGGGCGCTAGGGCGCTAGGGCGGCGAGCAGAGCGCGGGCGCTAGGGCGGCACGCGGGCAGCGAAGGGCGGCTCGCGGGCTGCTAAAGGCGGCGCTCAGGCTCTAGGGCGGGCAGCGCGCGGGCGTCTAGGGGCCGTTCGGGCAGATCGAAAAAAAGGTAAGGGAAAGGGCCCGGAGCGCGCCCCGGGCAGAAAAAATTACGAGGTAGTGGTGGTGGGCCCTAAGCACAGTTCCCACAGGGGAACCTGCTCGATACCATGAGAAGAATTGAACGAGGATGAATGACTAAGGAATGGAAGTGATACAAACAGGAAACCCTAATTGGGTTGTACCCCCTATGGGATACCCCACTATAGCCTACACAAAATGTATAAGCTATACAGAGTTCTGACAAGAATGTCGAGAATGATAAAGAAGGAAGCATTTATAGGGTCGAAACCGTGCTAGGCGAAGACCTTGGGATGTGGATGGGTTGGAAGTGTCGCGATTGGTGCGGAGCGACTCGTCGGTGGTTCGGTCCGAAGTGTAGGCCGAACCTCGAAACTGACGCGAAGTGCTCGGGGTTGTCCTCGCTAGGAACAGCCTCTACAGTAATGAATTCATATTCATTACAGAGAGGCTACAAGTACCCAAGTAACCAGAGCCCCCCTTATCCTTTTACGGAGGTTGGAAAGCTACACCACCATCTTCCCAGATCGCCTTAAAACCCGCTCTCCACGTCATCGAGGCCTCTGTCTCATAGAGCCTGCGCATAGCGCCTGCTTCGTCAGCATTCAGGTGGCTCCTGTCACCCGTCCTTTTCGAAGCATTCATGCCAGCCTTTTTCTTCCGCGCTCTGCTGTAGATCTTCACGTGCCTCGTGAAGCCAACTGCTATGCGCCTCAAAGCTCTCGGGATGGATGCGATTGGTGTGGAGGCGACTCGGGAGTGGTTCGGTGCGACGAAATAGGAAGGACAGGTTCGTCGCGTGACCCTCGGGATGGCCTCGATAACAAGTGCCTCAGTAAGTATTTGTAAATCCTTACAAAGCTCACTGTTTGTTACAACCATTTCGTACATGTAACAGCGCGATTGACTGATTGCTTCCACCGAACCGACCACCCGAGTCTGCGTGTTGACATCAAACCTCCATAAACACGCGCACCTCTTCACATTTCACGCAACACCCGAACAACACTCCCAAGCAATATGCGAGCCAGAGTTTCGCATGATTCCCAACCCCTGCAAGACGAGGAAGATTCGAACAAGAGTCGATCAACACACGATCCCCTCCCCCCCCTGTTTTCCGATGAGGGAGTATATTTCGTTGGCAGGAGCTTGAGGATGGTTTGACTCGAGAAATCGACGAGTAAACACCAGAACGGCGACTCGATGGTGGTTGTTGTGTAGAAACTGGGCGGGGGAAGCGGATTAGTGAGAATATCTTAACGCCTTATTCTCTACTGGGAAAAACGTAGGTGGGAGAGATGGCCGGGGTGATAGGTAGGGGAAGAGGGAAGGGAGGATGGAGAGGGGGAAGGAGGAGGGCAGGCGAGAGGGGGAACGAGGAGGTTCAGGAGGTTCAGGAGGTGATGATGATGCAGGATGGCGGCGAAATTGAGGAGACTAACGACGAATGCGAGGAAATTCGCGAAAACAAAAGCGGAAGCGACGGGAGCGGTGGGGAAGGTGACGTCAGAGAAATCCCTCCCCGAGCGACGAGGATGCGGCAGGCGAAGCCTGCGAGAGTTAACGCAGTTACAGCTCGCGCCACGTCCGGCCGTTTACAGCGAACTTTAGCCACAAGAGAGGGGATTCGGGGGAATGAAAGCACGCGCGCCGGGGAAAAGAGGGAGGGGAGAAGAGAGAGAATGGAGAGAAGGGAGAGAAGAGAGGCTGGCAGGTCCGGCCGTTTAGGGCGCGCTGTTGAGACGGGTGAGGGGATTGCAAGCATGCGAGATGGGGGAAAGAGGCAGGAGGGGCAGGAGATTAGGGTTGAGACGATGCGAGGTACGGGGAAAACGGTGGCATGTGGAGGGACTAGAGGCGGGGTAAGTGGGGGGGGTGATTTGGGGAAGAAGAAATTGCACTGGAAGCAGAAGAAAGCGATGGAAGAAAGGAAGCAAGCGGACGAGGAGAAGGGAAGGAAAACGGGAGAAACTGGGGAGGCGGATGAGGGGAAGAAGAAATTGCACTGGAAGCAGAAGAAAGCGATGGAAGAAAAGAAGCAAGCAGACGAGAAGAGAAAGAAAGAGGGGGAAACCAGGGAGGCGGATTTGGGGAAGAAATTGCACTGGAAGCAGAGGAAAGCGATGAAAGAAAAGAGGCAAGCGGATGAGGGGAAGGGAAAGCAAGCGGGAGAAACTGAGGAGGCGGATGAGGGGAAGAGGAAATTGCATTGGAGGCAGAAGAAAGCGATGGAAGAAAAGAGGAAAGCGGATGAGGGGAAGTTAAAGCAAGCGGGAGAATCCGGGGAAGCGGATTTGGGGAAGAAGAAATTGCACTGGAAGCAGAGGAAAGCGATGGAAGAAAAGAAGCAAGAGGATGAGGGGAGGAGAAAGCAAGCGGGAGAATCTGGGGAGGCGGACTTTGGGAAGAAGAAATTGCATTGGAAGCAGAAGAAAGCGATGGAAGAAAAGGAGCAGGCGGAGAGAGCTGGAGAGGAGAAGCGGAAGTTAGGACGTGAGGGAGGGGATGAGAGGGGCAATGGAAGGGGGGACGAGAGGCGGGGGAAAAGGAGAAGGATGTTAGAACGAGGGACAAAAAAGAGAGAGGTGGGAGAGGAGGAGGGTGCAGGTGATGCGGAGGGGAATCTGATGAAGCCGATTGACAAGCAGGCGGCGAGTGGTTTGTCAGAAAGGCGACTTGTGAGTCCACTCCGGGGCCAGCTCGAAATGGAAGCGGGAGAGGAAGAGGGGGAGGAGGAGGAGGATGCAGGTGAAGCGCAGGGGAAGCTGAGTGGGGTGCGCAGAGGAAAGGTGACGGCGAGTGAATTGGCTGAAAGGCGGCGGATCAAGGGAGAGCTCCTGGCGGAGGAGATTAAGAGGGAGATAAAGAAGCTGGTGGACACAGGGAACCTAGAGCAGGTGAGCAGAGAGAAGGTGAGTGAGACTGGGATGAATCCACTTCTGAGGCGCCTCAAAAGCAGAGGACCAAGGGACAGCTTCTGGCAGAGGAGATTAAGTGGGAGATACAGAAGCTGGTGGAAACAGGGAATCTAGAGCAGGTGAGCAGAGAGAAGGTGAGCGAGACTGGGATGAGTCTACCTCTGAGGCGCCTCAACGGCGGGATGGCTTCTGGCGGAGGAGATTGAGAGGGAGATAAAGAAGGTGGTGGACACACACAGGGAATATAAAGCAGGCGAGCGCGACTGAGATCCCAGTCTACCTGCTCTGCCTGGTGAGCAGGTGAGCCTTCCCTTGTTATGAGTCTACTCAAAACAAGGGAAGGCTCCGGGCAGAGGCGATTAAGGAGATACAGCCAGCAGCTAGGTGTGCCTCTGAGACGTCTCAAAAACACCCTCTCTACACGTGGCTCTTCCCCCCATCCACCAATTCGCTTGCTGCTGCAGACGACTGTCGTATCTGTGCAACAGCAGCTAGGCGTGCCTCTCTTCCCAAACAACACTTTTGAAGCACCTCAAACGTACTCTCCCCTCCCTCTCCCCCGCTTCTCCCCCGCCTCCTACCAACGTGCTGCTGCAGATGACTGTCATATCCGTGCAACAGCAGCTCGGTAAGCCTCTCGTCCAAGTTTATTTATGTGTGTGTGTGTTTTTCTTTTCTTTTCTTTTAAGAGATTAAAAAAAAAAACTTGGCTGAGAACAAAGAAAAAGCCCGGACTCAGTGAGAAAATCGCTGATCTACTGCTGTCACCAACTCGTGCCAGCTCGTGCCACCTGGCTCCACATACTTTTCACTACCTGATCCAGAGCTTGTGTGAATTTCGAGTCGACTCAGTAATACCTCACTGTTTCTCCCCCCTCGATGTCCCTTCAAGCAGGGAAGATTTTCGGGGAGAACCATCCGGTGAGCAAGAAGCGAGTGAGGGCTGCCGTGTTTGCGATATTCCAAGAGGAGTGGCATGTGCTGGAATGGCAGCAGCGTGAGGGGCATGTTGGGATGTCAGCATGAGGTGTGTCTTGCATTTTTGTCAAGATAAAAGAGCGTGAGGGGTGTGCTGGGATGAGAGCGTGAGGGGTGTGCTGGGATGAGAGCGTGAGGGGTGTGCTGGGATGAGAGCGTGAGGAGTGTGCTGGGATGAGAGCGTGAGGGGTGTGCTAGGATGAGAGCGTGAGGGGTGTGCTGGGATGAGAGCGTGATGGGTGTGCTGGGATGAGAGCGTGATGGGTGTGCTGGGATGAGAGCGTGAGGGGTGTGCTGGGATGAGAGCGTGAGGGGTGTGCTGGGATGAGAGCATGAGGGGCGTGTCGCAATGGGCCGAGGTGGCTTTTCCGTTGATTCAGGAGTGAGCAGCAGGCGAGTGAGGGCGGTGGTGATGGAGATATTCCAAGAGGAGTGGCATGCAGGAACGGCAGCGAGTGGTGTGTCTTGCAATTTGTGAAGAAGACTTTTGCGTTGATTCAGGAGTGAGCAACAGGCGAGCGAGTGGGACATGCGGGAATGGCAGCGTGATGGGCGTGCTGCGATGGGAGTGACATGCTGCATTGGCAATGCGAAGCGCTGCCGCTGTGGGATGAGGTGGCACTGCCTTGCTAGTCCGGAGCGAGCAGCAGGCGAGAGGGGGCAGATAGCTTGTACCAGTATGAGGTGTGCCGAAGAGGGGTGGTAGAGCTTGGATAGCAGCTTTTTGAGGCCTCAAGAGCAGCAGGTGAGGGCGGGCACAGGTTGTACCAGCATTAGATGTGCCGAAGAGGGGTGGCAGAGCTTGGATAGCAGCTTGAGGAGTAGCGGGCTGTGCCGGGCCTCAAGAGCAGCAGGTGAGGGCGGGCACAGCTTGTACCGGTATGAGATGTGTCAAAGAGGAGAGGAGAGCTTGGATAGCAGCATGGCTGAGTGTGGTACGGTAGGTACTGTCAGCCATTTCTTAGCTGCAAGTTATTCGCAAGTTGCCAGCCAGCGCTTACGTCTGTATATTGTGTAAAGCTATTTAAAGACCATGTATATTGGTCAATCGAGTCATTGTATACCACAACTACGGTATGCAAACAAGTGTCTATGGAACTCCTATGTGGTACAGTAGTTCGGTTGGGTTTAGAAATTGATAACATTACATTGGGTTAGGTGCTTCTACTGTATCATACCGGTAAAAAAACACATTACGGTACGCCTGTCCTGTCCTGTACAAACACCACAAAGCCCGCGCAGCTGTGCCCCTTGAGAGCTCACCCGACAGCCGCCAACAGCCGCACAGCACCTGACACCCCTAGAAACCCTCGTGGACTCACTATCAGCCTCACCAGCACAACCACCGGCAGTGTAGCCACGCCACGCCCCAACCATCCATCACCCCTGCACTGCAATCCCCTTTGACCGTGTTCCCGGTACGCCTCAGTAAGGTAATTACGGTATAAAGCTAGAAGAAAAATCACTTACCGGTACCCTTGTGGGCTCACCACTATTAGCCTCACCAAGACAACCACCGGCAGTGTAGCCACACCCCACCATCCATCACCCCTGCAACCTCCCTTTGACTGACTTCAACGCACGGCATGGCCTCAATACGGTAAGTAGAAAGCCGAATCTCTTGCTTGCCACGGACCACAACGGGCCTCTCAGACTTTCCGCCTCCACGATGGGAGCAACTTATCACTTGCCTGCACGCACCACGATGGGCCTCATGGCTTCATTATCCATCAGCTCCGCTCTGCAACCACCCCCTTGGCTGTGTTTCCGAAACACCTCAGAAAGGTAGAAGCCGAATCACTTCCCAGAACGGATCACAATGGGCCGCATGGCTTCGTTGTCCATCAGCTCCGCAATTCCACTATGCCATGCGTATCCAGGCCCCCTCGTCGCGTCAAACCCTAGTTACACTTGTATCCTGCCACCCCAGCCTCTCGCCTCCCCACCTCCACTATCACTTGCCTGCGCGCACCACGACTGGCCTCATAGCCTCATTGTCCATCAGCTCGGCAATTCCACTATGCCATGCGTATCCAGGCCCCCTCGTCGCATCAAACCCAAACCCTCCCTTCACTCCTCCTCCTGCTGCTGCTGCCATGCTGGCTGTGCTCCCCCATGCGACCCAGAGCGAGAGCACCTGTCTCGGCCAGACCACGCTTGTGTCTTGCCATCCCAGCCTCTCCCCTCCTGGTATTCCCTTGGGCTTCTTTATGAAACACGACCGAGGTGCTGTTTCCGCTGGTGGTTTACTGATAGGCAGCTTTGTATTTGTTGTCTCCTCCTTTGTGTTCTCCTCTTTCTCTTGTCTTCTGTTTCTGCTGCTGCTGCCACTGCTGCCGCTGCCGCTGCTGCTCCCTCCGTTCCCACTGCTACCACGGTTGCTGCTGTTACCACGGTTACCAGATTTACTGTGGTTACCAGATCTACTGTAGCTGGCCCACCCCATCGCCCGATCAAACGCACAGAACCCGTCCAAAAAGGCCTCTGCGTCGAATCGACGGCGGGAGATGGGGCGGTGGAGTGCGAGGGGAATGTGGATGGGGTGGGCGATGGGTGAGAGGTTGACTATGTGCCATATTTCGTATGTCCCCTGTTGTGGTGGAAGGATAGGGAGAAGGGGAAGAAGCAAAGCAGAAGAAGAGAGGAGAGGAAGATGGGGCGGTGGAGTGCGAGGGGGATGTGGATGGGGTGGGCGTTGGGGGAGAGGCTGACTATGTGCCATATTTCGTAGGTCCCCTGTTGTGGTGGAAGAAGAGTTAGGAGAGGGGAAGGGAGGGAACCTGCATGCTACAGATATGTTTTCCTTTCCTCCCCTCCCCACACGTACCACTCTGGGAGCTTCAGTGGCCGCGTCCTTAAAGCCCATGTTGTCGATCAGCATGCGCAGAGGGGCGTCAGCTTGCGCGTCTTTAACTGAGACAAGCATCTTCCACCGGTGCTGCGCTGCCTGGTTCAGGTTGATTGGGGGAAGGGGGTTCTGGGGAAGCAGGGAAGGGGGGCAAAATGGGAAAAGGGCGAGGGGGAAGGAAGGTCAGGAGGGGTGTCAACTTGAGTGTCTGCAACCGATACAAGCATCTTCCACCGGTGCTGCGCTGCCTGGTCTAGGTTGATGGGGGAAAGAGGGTTCTGGGGAAGCAGGGAACGGGAGAGTTGGGGAGGAAAGGGAGTGAGAGAGGAGAGGGGCGTCGGCTTCCGCGGCTTTTACCGAGACAAGCATCTTCCACCTGTGCTGCGCGTTGAGGTTGATCGGGGGGAGGAGGGTTCTGGGGAAGCAGGGAACGAGAGAGGTGGGGAAGGAAGGTCAGGCGGGGCATCGGCTTGAGCGGCTTTAACGGAGACCAGCATCTTCCACCGGTGCTGTGCCACTTGGTTGAGGTTGATCGGGGGGTATCTTTGAGACGTCTCAAACATACCCATTATACACGTGTTTCTCTAACCCAGACCAGCATCTTTCACGGTCATGTGCTACTTGGTTGAGGTTGATCCGGGGAGAAGGGGTGTGGGAGGGAGGGGTGAGGGAGAGGGGAGGGAGGGGTGAGGGAGAGGGGAGGGAGGCATGCAACAAGCAGATGGACGTTAGTGAAAGGGGTCTCAGAGGCAGTCTACCAAAGCACGTGGGAGTTAGTCTGTTTTGAGTCTTCTCATAACAGGCTTTTCAACTGTTGCCAGCGTTTTCCATCGCTGCTCTGCAGCGCGGGTCAATGTTATTGGGCTAAGGGTGTTCTGGGGAAAATTACCGATATTTTCTCGGGTATTTTTGGGCTGGCGATTTTCTTCGTCTGGGTGATCACAATCCGCATCACCACCCCCGTGTGACTGCCCGGAGGCGTGCCGTTAGGGAAGGGCGAGGGAGCCGAATTCGTTACAATCACGTCCCGGCAGACGGAGGGCAGCGAGGAGAAGTCCACGAGAATGTCCTTTCGCTCGCCTGGTGCAAGTAGCAGGGAGCGGACGTAGGATGGGCGGACGAGATAACCTGCATCACTGCTTATCTGAAAAGGGGGTGTTGAAAAGAGTGCAGAGGTGTTGGGAGGAGTGAGGGTGCGTGAGAAGAGAGAAGGAGGGCAGCGAGGAGAAGTCCACGAGAATGTCCTTTCTCTCTCCATGGGCGACGGGGAGGGAGCGGACGTAGGTTGGGCAGACGAGGTAGCCGGCGACTTTGAGGCGCCTCAAAAGACGAGGTAGCCGGCGTCACTGCTGATCGGAAACGGGGTGTTGGGTTAAGTGGGGCGTGAGGGATGAACGAAGAGAGTTTGTGTGGGAGGGCGAGGGAGGGCAGAGAGGACAAGAACGAGTTGAAAGAAGCGAGCCATGCAAGCCATGTACAGCCTCGGCCTCCGATCCAAGCAAGCCGGGCTTCATGTATTTACCTGGGCAAATTTCACTTTGCTCCCTTTTAAAGGAGGGTAGAAGTTGGGGTAGTCGCGGCGATCGGCGCAGACAAAGGAGAGGTTGAAGAAACGAGCGTTGGCAGCAGAGAGCAGGCGCAACCTGTGCAGCGCTGGACGCACCTTGAGGTACGGCCAGGCCTGTAGGGGGGAGAGAGGGCAGGGAGGGGAGTGAACGGAGGGGCGAGGAGTAGGGGATTTGGGTGGAGTGAACAGGCGTTGGCAGCAGAGAGCAGGCGGGACCTGTGCAGCGCTGGACGCACCTTGAGGTACGGCCTGACCTGGAAGGAGGGAGAGCAGGAGGGGAGAGAGCAGGTGTGTGTGGAATGAACAGGCATTGGCAGCAGAGAGCTGTCAGAACCTGTGCAGCGCTGGATGGATCTTGAGGTACGGTCAGACCTGGAAGGTAGGGAGAGCAGGAGGGGAGACAGCGGAGTAGGTGGGTTTGTGTGGAATGAACAGGCGTTGGCAGCAGAGAGCTGGATGGACCTTGAGGTACGGTCAGACCTGGGGTGACAGGAGGGAATAAGGGGTGTGCTAGGAGGGAGAGACAAACAGACTCGCTATACTCCTTACAAACGGACTCGCTATATCCACGGTTGGTGAACTCTTACCAGCCCATTAACCACAATGGTGTTGCCGTAGAACCCGTCCACCCAGTTGGGATGCACATCAGGCACCACGCCTCTCCTCGGGTAATACGGACCTACATGATAGAATAACAAGCTCCTATACTCCTTACAAGCACACTCGTTATAGCTCTCACCAGGCCATTCACAACAATGGTGTTGCCATAGAACCCGTCCACCCAGTTGGGATGCACATCAGGCACCACCCCTCTCCTCGGGTAATACAGCGATCCATTCGCTGTGAACGTTCGATCCGCCAACACCAGAGGAATACTGTAATCCCCCTTGGGAATCCAGCTTCCCACTCCCGCCCCCGATACCTTCCCACCTCCTCCCCCTTGCTCCCCTATCCCTCCTCCTCCTCCCCCTCCTGCTCCTCCCCCTCCTGCTTCTCCGCTCCCTGCTTTTCCACTTCTCCGCTTCCCCTCGGCCCCGTCAGGATCCGTTACAACGTACAGGCCTGCCATCCCCGCTATAAGGTTCAACCTCCCCACGCCCTGAGTGCGGTCCCGATACCAGAGCAGAGCAGCAGAGTGCTGGTTCAGATACTTGTACGTTTGCGAATAGTATGCATGCTCTTGAGGGGCCTCAGGGCCTCCGGAAGAGGGAGAAGAGGAGGAGGAGGGAAGTGGAGAGGTTCGGGAGGCACGGGAGGTTCGGGTGGAGGATCGGGAGGAGAGGGCAGGGCCGAGCTCGCCGTACTGAGTGAACCACGCCTGGGGATGGCCGGAATACGAGCTGTGCGCGTGGCCTCCTTGCCGGAAGGGCACTGCAGGGAGGGAAGGGGAGTTGGGGCATGGGCGGGATGGAAAAGGTGGAGATTTGGGGAAGGGAGGACAAGGCAGGGCCGAGCTCGCCGTACTGTGTGAACCACGCCTGGGGGTGGCCGGAGTAGGAGCTGTGTGCGTGGCCTCCTTGCCGGAAGGGCACTGCAGGGAGGGAAGAAGGGGCATGGGCGAGAGAGAGAAGATAAGACTTGGGGAAGGGAGGAGAGGGCAGGGCCGAGCTCGCCATACTGAGTGAACCAGGCTTGTGGGTGGCCGGAGTAGGAGCTGTGTGTGTGGCCTCCTTGCGTGAAGGGCACTGCAGGGAGGGGAGGGGAAGGGGAGAAAAGGAACGGGAGGTGGGTGAGAGTAATGGGGTCAGGCTCGTACTGAGCGAACCACGCCTGGGAACAGCCGAAATAGGCGCTGTGTGCATGACCTCCTTGCGTGAAGGGCATTGCAGGGGAAAGCGGGCAATGTGGAAGGCACGGGGGAGGGGAGACGTGAGTGCGCTGATTGAACTTGTGAGAATTCTCAAAAGTTCAAGCAACGGGGGAGAAGTGAGTGCGCTGATACAGCCTACAGGGCGGGTGCATGTGGGAGTTTGTTATAGGGTCGTCTTTAATTACAGTGTATTTATTGCAATTACACTGCACTTTGGCGCCGCTAACGAATTCGAACATTCAAGCGAGGCACCACTCACCAAAGCATCGACTCACAAGTCACCGCGAGGCACCACTCACCAAAGCATCGACTCACAAGTCACCGCGAGGCACCACTCACCAAAGCATCGACTCACAAGTCACCGCGAGGCACCACTCACCAAAGCATCGACTCACAAGTCACCGCGAGGCACCACTCACCAAAGAATCGACTCACAAGTCACCGCGAGGCACCACTCACCGAAGGGAATGCCGCCACGGGATGGTCTAGGGACGTCCTTATTGATAGTGTAGTCTACTTGCAACATGTGCTTTTCGTCCGTTAGATGGTTCTCCCACCGAATCTGCCACGTGCAATCCAACACGAAGGAGAGTTGTGAAGTATGTCAACAGGATGGGAGGCTCCTTCGTGACTTTTGAGTCGACTCAAAACGTATCGTATGCCATGGTAACGAGGTGACTTTTGAGTCGACAGGATGGGAGGCTCCTTCGTATTTTCACACAAAGCAGAAATGTGGACTGGCAGTAAGTTTTAAGGCGTCTCAAAACAACGCATCTAGTGCACAAACCCATAAGATATGCCATATTTACGCGGCGTCCCATCTCGCACCTTAGTCATGGTGCCCTTCCTCGCCATTATAGTCGGACCCGGAAACGACGCGCGCGCGCGGCTCGTCCCAAACGCGTACAGCTTCGTGGGCGGCAGATCTCGGTGAAACTTCTGCCGGATCTGATACACTCCGATTCGGAGAATCTTCCCGCTTGTGCCGTCCACGAGCTCCATCCTGCCGCCCGTGCCGCCTGTGCCGGCCGTCCCAGCCTTGCCGCCCGTGCCGGCCGCGCGGAGGCTGTCGACAAACTTGCAGAGCGGGCGGGAGGGAAAGCGATTGACGCATCGCGGTCCCGCTGTCGGGGTGCCTCCGGATACCGGGTTACCAGGCTTCGTGGACCCGGATTTTGACGGCCCAGATTTCAACGGTCCAGATTTAGACGAGCCGGAAGATTTGTGCGGGTTGGAAAGGAGGTCTGGTGAGCCATAGTAGACGGGCCCAGGCTTGGAAGTGCCCCTGTGTTTCGGTATCGGTGGGGCAGTAGTAGCGGCTGTCAGGGGGGATGGGCGGAAAGGGGGAGAGGGATGGGGTGAGGAGGAAATGGGGGGGGAGGGGTAGAGGGGATGAAGCAGGGAAGCAGGGAGGGGAAGTTTGCTGGGCGTGCTTGGAAGTACCCCTGTGCTTCGGTATCGGTGGGGCTGTAATAGCGGCTGTCAGGGGGGGATGGGAGGGAAGGGGGAGAGCGATGGGAGGGAAGGGGGAGAGGGATAGGAGGGGAGGACGGGGAGAGGGGATGAGGCAAGGAAGCAGGGGGGGCGTAAGCAGGCTGCGCGTGCTCAGAAGCGCCCGTGTTTTTCACAATCAGTGAGACAGTAGCGGCTGCATTCAGAGAGGAAATTGCTATTAGTAAGGCTATTGGGAGGGAAAGGGGAGGCGGGAAGGGGCAGGAAGAAGATGGGGTACTAGATGGACCCGGGCTAGAGAGCGCCTCTGCTTTTCGGTATCAGTGGGACAGTAGCGGCTGCAGTCAGGGGCGGATGGTAGGGAAGGGGGAGAGGGGGATGAGGCGGGGAAAAAAGCTGGTAAGTACTAGCGGGCGCGGGCTTCTAAGCGCCCTGTTTCGCGGAATTAGTGGGACAGTGGCGGCTGCATTAAGGGGCGGATAGAAGGGAAGGGGGAGAGGGGGATGAGGCGAGGAAGCAAGGGGCGGGGAAGAAGGCTGGGCGGTACTAGGGGGGGCTCGGGCTTGGAAGCGGGCCTCGGGCTTGGAAGCGGGCCTCGGGCTTGGAAGCGGGCCTCGGGCTTGGAAGCGGGGCTCGGGCTTGGAAGCAACCCTGTTTCGCGGGATCAGTGGGACAGTGGCGGGTGCACTAATAAGGGGTGGATAGACGGGAAGGGGGAGACGGGGATAAGGCGACTCGCGTTTGCGGCTGTACTTACTGGAGGAAAAGAAATAGGACTACTACGCGGTTGATTTGAGACGATTTCTGAGGTGCCAAAAAAAAAAAAAACATAACAGCAGCCACCGAGCGACTAATTCGCGGGTTCTTGTCTGACTTTTGAGTCGACTCAAAAGACATAACAGCAGCCACCGAGCGACTAATACGCGGGTTCGCTGCTGCAGGGATGCTTTGAATCGACTGAAACAGCACCTGTAGGGGGGTACAGTACGGGCTACCGACGCGCTTTTACTTGCTTCCACCTACCTGTTTCGACGTCACCTTGCCCGCGTGCGGCGCTGATCAGGAGCATGCATGTGCATAGCGCGACTCGAAAGGAAAGTCTATCTGCCGTCATTGGTGCGTCTAGCTGGAAACGTAGTCAGTCAGTGAGATACCGTGTTTTGGGTTGACTCAAAACACTGCTCAGTCAGTAAGAAACGAGGAAACACTACAATGGCGTTTTTCTATGATGGTATGTACAATTTAAGGTTTCTATTCTTGGGTCGCGACCGCGACGACAGTGGTTCTACTAAGTCGGCCTGCCGATCAATTCCTGGCTGCTTAGGAGGCGTCTACTCGCTGTCAGCTCGTGCACTGAAACTATCCAAGCATACGTCAAGCAAATGCTGCCCTTCCGTCCAAGTCACGTCTAGTGAAAAGCGCGGCGATACACAGCACAGCCACGGCATAAACGCGTGCAAGTGACGACGTGGCGCGTGCTGCCAAAAAAGGACCCCTGGCTCGCTCGATGCTTTCCGGCGAAAGATCGAGGAGGACCCGAGTCGGGCTGCCGTGCCGTCACCATTGTAGTCATAAGGGCGACGTCAGGTTGTACAACTTCTGTACGCTCAACTCCGTTTCTTCACGGTGCAAAACGGTAAAGCTTGAGAACCGCTTCCCACCGTATGGAACTGTTCTCAGACACGATACAAGAACTGCAAAGATGCTGAGAAACGTACAACCTGACGTCGCCCTATCTCATGAGTTGAATCATCTCAGAGAAGGGTGATAAGAACATCTAGTGGACGTGCCATGCGTGCGGGGAGAAATTCAGACGGGTTTGGGGGGAAATTGAAATGTGATCGTTTTGGCAGAAATTCAAATAGGATTTCCCGCCAGAGGCGACATTTGAACCGAATGCGGTCCGCTGACGCGATACGTGCCTGGCTCTTTTGATAACAGCAAAGTTGCACAGAAACACTTACGAGAAGCAACAGTAACTGATATAGCACAACGTTATTGCACAGCTGGACATAATGTGCTATTTTGACACATAATTACACCGAGCCCAAACTTCCACCAGAGCCCAGTTCTTATTCAGCTATATCTACATGCCATCATAACTCCGCATGTGTAGCATGAAATGCAACCACAACTCCAAACATTTGGTCTCATGGCTGTGTGATGGAACACTCCCGAAGCTGCTTTTATTGCAAGGCTTATTGCTGCGCTTTTAGCACGGCATCACGGAGGACAGCAATGGCAGCGGCCGGGTCGGAAGCGCCAAACACAGAGCTTCCAGCAACAATGCAGTTGGCTCCAGCTTCTGCTGCTTGACCAATGGTCGATGGACCCAACCCGCCATCCACCTGCACAAACAGATACGTGGTAAAATATAACAAGAAAATACGTAGCATGCTAAACACTCAGGCATCAACATCTGCGTGTGAGCATAGGAGCGCATTCCTCCTCCTCTCACCCGAATAGTCAAATCGGAAAACATTGTCAGCAAGAACTGCACCTTAGGCATCAACTCAGGCATAAACACTTGGGGGTGTAAACACAGGAGTACCGGAAGATTCCTCATCTCACCTGAATATCCAGCTCTGGGAATCGTGACCGTAGAAACTGCACCTTGGGCATCATGTCAGGCATAAACGCCTGCCCTCCAAACCCCGGCTCTACTGTCATCACCAGCACCACATCCACTGCCTCCTGTCCCTCCAACTGCAATCAGGTGTGAGCATGAGGGGTAGGAACGATAATGGTAATCATGAGTGAGATGCCTGCCCTCCGAACCCCGGCTACACCGTCATCACCAGCACCACATCCACCGCCTCCTGCCCCTCCAACTGCAGTTGGGAGGTGGTCATGAGAGGTGGGGTTGACAGAACAATTAGGCATGATTATGGTAGTAATGATGAACGGACCTGCCCTCCGAACCCCGGCTCCACAATCATCACCAGCAGCACCACATCAACTGCCTCCTGCCCCTCCAACTGTCATGGGGGGTGGTCGTGGGGGGGGAGGACGACAGAACAGCTAAGGTTGATCCGGTTAGGGGTGATTATGGTGATGGTGATGGTAATAGACAGGCCTGCCCTCCGAACCCCGGTTCCACCGTCATCACCAGCACCACATCCACTGCCTCCTGCCCCTCCAACTGCCATGAGGGATGATCACGTGGGTGATGATGGGAGAATGGTTAGGGAGAGGCGAGTGGGGGATAAGAGAGACACATGCCCTCCGAACCCCAGCTCCACTGTCATCACCAGCACCACATCCACTGCCCTCATCCTCCATTCTCCCTCCTTAACCATTCTGCCATCTCACCATCAACCTGTGAAATCACTCCGTATCTGTCCCTCCAACTGTGATACGGAGTGATCACACAGGGTGATGGTAATATGATAGAATGGTTAGGGAGGGAGAATGGGGGATAAGAGACATGCCTGCCTTTTGACTCCCGGCTCCACTGTAATCATCGCTATCACAATATTCGCTGCCTCGCTACCTATACTCTCCAACAACGTACGAGCGACCGCAAAAGAAAAGGTACGATGGGCGGTATTCGGGGCGTGTGCTGTGCAGCAACAAGCAAGCAACGTACGAGGGGCAGGACGGATTCGACAGGCGTGGAAGGCTTGATGGCCACCCCCGCCCTCATGCCCGCTGCATGCACCTCAGCCACCAGCTGCTGTGCCCTGCCTGGGTAGGAGGGGAGAGCAGGGTGTGCGGAGAGAGGAGAAAGAGGGGTAGGACAGAGTAGACATGCGTTTAAGGCTTGATGGCCACCCCCGCCCTCATGCCCGCTGCATGCACCTCAGCCACCAGCTGCTGTGCCCTGCCTGGGTAGGAGGGGAGAGCAGGGTGTGCGGAGAGAGGAGAAAGAGGGGTAGGACAGAGTAGACATGCGTTTAAGGCTTGATGGCCACCCCCGCCCTCATGCCCGCTGCATGCACCTCAGCCACCAGCTGCTGTGCCCTGCCTGGGTAGGAGGGGAGAGCAGGGTGTGCGGAGAGAGGAGAAAGGGGGGTAGGACAGAGTAGACATGCGTTAAGGCTTGATGGCCACCCCCGCCCTCATGCCCGCTGCATGCACCTCAGCCACCAGCTGCTGTGCCCTGCCTGGGGTATATATGTGCGGGGAGGTGAGGAGGGAAGAAAGGAAGGGAGAGAGGGGGACGGGAGAGGGGGTATCCTTGAGGCGTCTCGAACGAAGACAAACCAAACGCAAAGGAGGGGGGAGGTGGAAAAGAAGACGGGTCTTTGCTTTTTTAAAGCGACTTCCTGCTCGGAGGCACAAGCCTGAGTTTAGGGTTGATGTACAACCTGACACCTGGCACGCTGACCTGGCACAGCCTCCACATGGAAGGTGAAGGAGGAGGCCCCGGCCTGCTTCATAGACTCCACGTAGGCGAAGGGGTCTGTGACCATGAGGTGGCAGTCCAGGTAGGCACTGCAACCCCACATAAAAAAAAACAAAGGGAGAAAGATGAGAGAGGGGAAGGGTGTAGAGGCCACAGGCTGTATAGCTGGCGGTTGAACACTCCACGTAGACGAAGGGGCCCGTGAAGATGAGGTGGCAGTCCAGGTAGGCAACTGCGCGATCATCATGCGGGAGAAAAGGTGTCGAAAGGAAGGGGAAGAGTAGGGAGGGGATGGGTGTGATGTGAAGGCGTATGGTATGGGTCCGTGACTAGGAGGTGGCAGTTGAGGTACACACTGCACTCTCACAAAGAAGCAGGGCTTTTCAAAAACGAAGCAGGGTTCGGGAAGTCTAAAAAAAACCCTGCAGTCGAGGTACACACTGCACTCTCACAAACCAAGGAAACCAAGAGAGGAGTGGGGTGGAAGGGGAAGAGAGAGGGGTAGGGTAAGGTATGAAAGCCGCAGCTTGTTTACACAGTTGCAGGAAGGGCCCAGCATGAGGGTTAGCATGCAGACAAAGGTGACTTCTGAGTCGACTCAAAAGTCACCAAGGGAGGGGTGGAAGGACATGGAAGCCGCAGCTTGTCTACACAGGTGCAGGAAGGCCCCACCCCAGCATGACGGTTAGCATGCAGACGGACAGGGGATTGTGTGACGGGGGTATTCCCAGAAAATGAGGACAGCATGGGTGTGTGTGTTGCATGAGGGGTCGGGAACACTGAGTGAGCCCAATGACTTTTGAGGCGCCTCAACAGACATATTCAGGAAAAATGAGGACAGGGTGGGTGTGTGTAGGGATGAGCAAAAGGTGAACACGAACATGTTCGCGTTCGCCCCTGCACGAACACCACCGTTCGGCAAACCGAACAGTGTTCGGTTCGCCGAACGACTTCCCCAAAAAAGGGTGTTCGCCGTTCGCCTATGAAGGCGAACACCTAGTTGACGCAGGCGAACACGAACGTGTTCGTGGCAAACACGTTCATGTTCGCCCCGGGACTACATTCACTAAAGTCACATGTTTGTGGATTGTGTATTGTTGACATTTGTTAGGTGGTTGTAACGTCCAAATAGAGTAAAATTCAAATCGTTGCACATTCCCTCCCCCCACCCCCCAAGCCAGTCCCGCCCTGCTTCATCCATGCTAGTGCCAGCGTGTGATGGCGAAATGCTCGATTTGCACTTAAGCAACGGCGAAATGCTCGATCTGCACTTAAGCAACGGCGAAATGCTCGATCTGCACTTAAGCAACGGCGAAATGATCTATCTGCACTTAAGCAACGGCGAAATGCTCGATCTGCACTTAAGCAACGGCGAAATGCTCGATCTGCACTTTAGCAACGGCGAAATGCTAGATCTGCACTTAACTGACGGCGTAGTGCTAGACCTGCACTTAAATAACGGCGAAATGCCAAATCTGAGCCCAAACACCAAGGCCCGCGACGTAAAAATTGGTCGAGGGCCTATTCGTCGACAAACACATTGGTGTTTGTCGAAGGCACGTGTCAAACACATTGGTGTTTGTCGAAGGCACGTGTCAAACACATTGGTGTTTGTCGAAGGCACGTGTCAAACACATTGGTGTTTGTCGAAGGCACGTGTCAAACACATTGGTGTTTGTCGAAGGCACGTGTCAAACACATTGGTGTTTGTCGAAGGCACGTGTCAAACACATTGGTGTTTGTCGAAGCCACGTGTCAAACACGAACGTGTTCGTGTTCGACGCGCCTCGGCCAGCTGAGCTGGGCGAACGGCGAACATGTTCGGGCGAACACCGAACGCGTTCGCCCCGAACAACTTAGGCCAAAAAAAAATCCTGTTCCGTTCGCCTCGAATTGCTCATCCCTAGGTGTGTGTGTTGCATGAGGGGTCGGGCACACCGCGTGAGCCAAGCCCAACGGGATGGGTGTGAAAGCTGCTTACTCCGTGTGCTTTCGAAGCGCAGCAATCACCGGAGGGCCGATGGTGAGGTTCGGCACAAAGTTGCTGGGAAGGTGGGAAGTGCGGAGGGGGAGAGGGTGGGGAGGAGAGAAGGTGGAAGAAGGGAGAGGGTAGACGTGGAGGATATTTAGGGGTAAGAAGGCGGAGGTGGGAGAGAGGATGGAGAGGGAGAGTCGGGGAGGGTCAGGGAGAGGATATAAGTTGAGGGGGGGAAGAGATTGGAAGAGTCGAAAGGGGGAGAGGTCTAGGGGTAAGAGGGCGAAGAGGCAGTGGAGGAAACAAGGTCGACGAGGCAGACAAAGGCGAAATCGAAGGAAGTTGAGGGAAGTATGAGAATGACTCAAGGGACAGGGGAGAAAGTGCGAGGTCACAAGTTGATGAGAGGGATCAGAGGCGAGGCGAGGGGACGCGGGGAGGGAGGAGGGAGGGAGGGTAATATATGGAGGGAGGAAAGCATGATCACTAGAAAGGAATGGCATTTTGGCAGTGATCTGAGGCTCAAAGGGGATGTGCTTTTCTTAGAATTCTCAAAGGTCACTCGCAAATGGCATTTTGACATATGGACGGAGGAAAGCATGATCTGAGGCTCAAAGGAGATGTGCTTTCAGCGACGCGTGCTGGTAAGTTCAGTGTACTTGTGGTGAGAAACCAGTGTGTACTTGAGTTGAACCCTACCCATCCTGCAAGAAATGCACACGAACGGCATGGGAGAAACATGCATGCACACACAAGCACACACAGTGTTGACCGCGTTGACCGATGGCGGAACAGATAGGGGAGAAGGGGGTGGAAGGCAGGAAAGAGTCAGAGAGGAGCGACGGATGTTAAACGTGAGGGATCGCAAACAACCGTGATAGGAACCAGAATTAGAAGCGAAAATACTGATGATCCATAGCGCACCTCATCAATGGCTAGCTTTCTGGCTCAAATGTAAGGCAGGTATGGAATTACCATGATATCCATGTGTAGCCAATCAGCGCCGCACGAAAGCATCCGCTGCGCCTCGCTCGCGAGATTCGCGAAGTCTGACGAAAGCATGGACGGCGCTATCTTCGGCGAAGGCGCCATCTCGCGCGACCTTGTAAAAAGTGATTAATTTCGCGAGGCGCGTGGGTGACACGGCTTTCCTACTCTAGCACGCACACTACCTAGAGTTCGCGCCTACGAACGAAGCTTCCAGATAAGTCACTCGTGTACGATAAAGGTTGCGGTAAGGAGCGGCGACCGTCCTAGTAATTAATACGTACTGTGCATGCAAGATTGGGTACCGTACACGAGGAACGAATGCAATGCAAGGGCGCTGTTCTGTAGGCGTTAAAATTCCAAAAACTGGGTCCGCGGAATCTTCGTTGATAAGTGGAAATCTGCCTATCATGGTTTGGTGATAAGAAAGGTCCTGCCGAACCTGTTTGCGCCAAATTTAACGCATCAGCCTGCAGAACGCCACTTTTGGGGCGCACGAATTTAATCGTCTGCAGGCTCGAAGTTGCAACCAGCATGAATGCGCCTAGAAAATGCACGGAAGGCTACCGCGGTCAAATTGGTGCGGAACCCTAAACGCCTGCAGAACAACGCCAGGGTTGGAAGAAGTTCACTTGTGGTGCTTCAGCGAGACGCTTTGCTGTTGACAGCATCGACGGCAATATCGAGAACGGTCGAATACGGTCTTGGTCCCAATTTCTAATCATGCAGAACAAGTCATACTGAAATTTGTCAAATTCCCTTTATAAGTTAAATATCTACTACACTACCCCTTAGTACTTAGCTCAAACGTTTACTGTAAAAAAGTGGTTCAGAATCCAGCAGTCTGATATGCTGACACCTCACATGAGATGCTACAACAGCAAGAAAACCAGACTGAATAGACCAATCCAAGCAGCAACAGCCACCTTCAGCACAACTGAATAAGCACCACTCTTAGGTGGGGGAGGTGAAGGGGGGGGCGTGATGGTTGTGCTGCCACCACCAGGAGCAGCGCAAGTGGGGGGAATGGAAGCAGCAGCGTCGCATGGGCTTGTACTGGCGAGGGCTGGTTCTGCAAAGCACGAAGTCTGAGGGAGGGAGGTGGGGAGGAAAGGGGGGTAATGGAAGGAGATGGAGGTGTAGTGAATGGAGGTTTGTGATGGTTGTGCTGCCACCACCAGCAGCTGCACAAGTGGGGGGAATGGAAGCAGCAACGTCGCATGGGCTTGTGCTGGCGAGGCCTGGTTCTGCAAAGCACGAGGTCTGAGGGACGGAGGGGAAGATGGGGGAAATAGGGGAAAGGAGCAAGGACAGAGGAAGAGCAGGGGGGAAATGGGGAAAGGAGGGGCAAACGGGGGAAAACGGGGAAACAAGGGCAGCGAAGCTTCAAGGAAACAGGAGCAAGAGACAGGAAGGCGAGATTGCATTGAGCCCACTCACACTGCTTTTCATCCTACTCGTGCACTTGCTGACTGTGACGTTAAGGTTGGGCACAGCAGCCAGCTTGAGAGTGCAGGGGAGCGCTGCCACTCATGACTCTGTGCCTGCTACTCTCACCCCACTCACACTCCCACACATCCCACTAAACTCCCGCTCATCCCACTCACGCTGTTGCTGACTATGATGTTGAGGTTGGGCACAGCAGCCAGCTTGACACTCCGGGGAAGCACTGTCACTCATTACTCCACGCTGCTGCTCTCATCCCACTGTGTGTGATAAGTCGAGTTTTGAGTCGACTCAAAACAGGGCAGCACTGTCACTCATTACTCCACCCTGCTGCTCTCATTCCACTCACTCCCTCTCGTCTCGCTCCCACTTGTTACTGTGTACTACTCTCATCCCACTCACACTCTCCCTCTCATCTCGCTCCCACTTGTTACTGTGTACTACTCTCATCCCACTCACACTCCCTCTCGTCTCGCTCCCACTTGTTACTGTGTACTACTCTCATCCCACTCACACTCCCTCTCGTCTCACTCCCACTTGTTACTGTGTACTACTCTCATCCCACTCACACTCCCTCTCGTCTCGCTCCCACTTGTTACTGTGTACTACTCTCATCCCACTCACACTCCCTCTCCTCTCACTCCCACTTGTTACTGTGTACTACTCTCATCCCACTCACACTCCCTCTCGTCTCGCTCCCACTTGTTACTGTGTACTACTCTCATCCCACTCACACTCCCTCTCGTCTCGCTCCCACTTGTTACTGTGTACTACTCTCATCCCACTCACACTCCCTCTCGTCTCACTCCCACTTGTTACTGTGTACTACTCTCATCCCACTCACACTCCCTCTCGTCTCGCTCCCACTTGTTACTGTGTACTACTCTCATCCCACTCACACTCCCTCTCGTCTCGCTCCCACTTGTTACTGTGTACTACTCTCATCCCACTCACGCTGTTGCTGACTGTGACGTTGAGGTTGGGCACTCCAGCCACCTTGATCGTGTTGACAATAACCGTGTCGATGAATGCTTGTGCATCCGCTATCAGCTCGCTCAGCACATACGTGCCCACTGCAGGGAAGGGACGGCAAGAGAAGGGCCAGGTGAAGAGCGGTTTGGAGCGGTGAAGGGTGGCGCTTGCGGGGAGATTGCTTGAGACAGTGTTCACAATAACCGTGCCGATGAATGCTTGCGCATCCGCTATCAGGTCGCTCAGCACACACAAAACCACTGCAGGGAGTAGCTAGCAGGGAAGACAGGGAATGTCCACGGTGGTGAAAAGCGGTGAAGGCCGGTGCTTGAGGAAGGTCATTCACGAGAGTGTCAAATAGTGACGGTAAGGTGGGGATGTTTTGAATAGGATACACGAGACATGAGGTGGTCAGAGGGGGAGGGATCAAGCAGGGAAAAGGAGGTATCAAGATAGGGGGAGGGGAGGAGGTACAAGGATGGTCAGGGTTGGAAAAAGGAGGCATGGGATAGAAAGAGGAGCAGTGGGGAGGAAGGGGTACCAAGGCGGTTAGAGGAGTTATGAGGTTGCTTGTTACTCACGTAATGCCCTGGCATGCACTGAAGATGCGGTCAGCTAAATTTGGGCGTGTTTGAGTCATCTGGTCTCAGAATATGATGGCAAGAGGAGCTATGGAGTTGCTTGTCACTCACGTTTGATGCCCTTGCAGGCACTGAAGATGCGGTCAGCGAATTCCGGGCAGATTAACATGACTGACGCGCCGTCCTTGGTGCTGTTCACATAGCTGCCCGAATCTGCCACGTCCGCAGCACCAAGGGAGGAAGAAAGTAAGGGAGGTGAGTGGGCCCAGCGAACTAGAATCGTTACTGAGCTGGCCTCTTGCTGGAAAGTTTGTCTGGCGAAAGTAGCCCTGTATTTGGCTACATTCGTGCGCAACCTTTAGGGCTTTAGAATGTGAGAATAATGTGATAATTGTAAAACAAGATGTGATTTTCATGCCGTTCCGAACACTCTGCCGGGAATTTTTACATAGCATGTACTCTCCCGTGAAAGGAAAACAACTGACTTCACCAAAATCTCATTTGTAACAAGAAGGTGTAGACGCGAACGTTCGCACTAACCAGGGTTGCAGTTGGCGCCACACACGATCGCCTCGACGAGAAAGGGGCACTCAAGTTGGCCAACGAACAGGTCGCACACCTGTTACAATCACGCACCGGGAACAGGGGTAGGGAGAACAGAAGTTCGGGCAGGGGGTACAGAGCAAGGGGAAACGAAGCGGGGGAAAAGCAAGCCCTAAACCCAGGGGCCTGACAAAAAGCAACTTGGAAAAAAGGGGCCCTTGAAAATTAGAGTGAAGGCACGTTATGCTGGTGAACAGAGCTAGGTGACCCAAGTGGTTGTATGAGGGAATTTCACTCCCTGCGCGGTAATTAGAGAGGAAGCACGATCGTCGCTCGATAAGGGTACGTGGGAGAACGCGTGTCGTAACGACGGGTTTCCGTGTCTGCGCGCTACGCGTGTCCTCGCAGCGCGCAGCACCTGGGACACCTCGTTGAAGCACGCAAACGTGGTCAACGCGAAGGTCAACGAGGGTCAACGAGGGTCAAAGAGGGTCGTACCTTAACGCTCGGCTCGACGAGGCCTGCGAATGAGGGTCTGATATTCGTGAGCACGGCGGAAAGGTTTGCGCCGGTCATCATTTGCGCGGCCGACACGTCCGCGCACTCCGCGCAGCACGACGCGGTTGCCGCCACGGGGCAGCGAAGAGACCGAGTCTTCCGCGCAGTCGGCGGAAGCTTCGTTGCTGGACACACATTCGCAGTCGCGCCGCTAGCGGATGCCGGTGCCGCGGGTGGAGTCGCTGCGGCGGAACAAGTTACCAGTGCAACAAGGAGAGAGGACAGCACGGCCGCCGCGAGCAGCGCGTGCCGCGGGAATAGCGGCGCCATGATACTCGGGAAACGGTAGTGCGAGTAAGCGACGATCTGACGACACGGCGGCGACGACGGGAGGGGGTGCGTGCTTCCGGCGACGGCGTTTAGTGTGCAAGTAGTACGGTTCCCCGACAATGGCTGGGCCAGAATTGCTCTCGCTTGGCACCGACGTTCCGTAATGCAGCACGACAATGGCGATCAAGCGAAACGCTGAAGAGTCGCAAAAGGAAGCACACAGAAACACGGCGGAACACCTCAGCGGAGATAAATCTGCCAAAAGAAGAAGCCTTGTACAGTAATAAGAAGACTGCCTCGCGGCCCAAAGCTTTCCTGATCGCGTCGTCAATGAACAGCGGCAACTGTGGGTGGGAGGCGCAAGTGCGTCCACGACAGTGGGTGGGAGATTCGGTGGCGATGCGAATTGAATTGAGTAGGGTTACTGTACGGAGAGTTCGGCGACACAGTCTGCTCTGCAGATATCGAATAGAAACGCGCCGAACCGACGTGGTGGTCCGTGGGGAATGGAAAGGGTGGAAGATCAGGTTGATCGAGACTGCGCGATTCTTTCGAGCCTCTTCCAATCAAGATAAAGGATTAACTCGACATCCACTTCCTCGATACTACCTTTGATGATTGAAGAAATATTCAAGACCAGACTACTGTAGAAAACAAACACAAGCCAAGCTATTCACTGCTCCCTAAATAGTTGTTATGCGTGTATATATAGCAGTTTCATAACAAAATAAGACCCAGAATACTCAACAAACAAGACGCGCTAATAGTGGCTGCATTATTTGCCAAAGAAATGGTGGACTTTTGTGGTACTTGTGCGATTGCAAGCATCGGAGACGGGGGAGGTTGTCCAACAGGCTCTCCAGGTGATGGCGGAGCTGGTGATTGGCCGGCCGGCGGGGAAGGGACAGGTGGAGCCGATGCCCCAGACACAGAAGTGGGAGGAGGGGGAGGAGGTGAAGGAAGAGGAGGAACGGGTGGAGGGGTCTTGCACACAGAATGATCAATATCGCGGCCAATCAGATCGCTGTATTGTGTCGCATTTACAGCGCCGGCAGGGCAGTTCTGGGGAATGGCGAATGGGTCGCAGCATGCGGTTACTGGAGCAAACACCTGAGAACCACTGAAGCATGCTTTCTGCAGGAGGGGAATATGGCGGCAGGTGGATGGAAGGAAAGGTGTAAGCTTCGAGACATTTTAAGGAAACAAAAAAGGGGATGCCTGGTGGATGGAATAAGGAGCACATGAGGAAACGAAATGGTAGTTTTATTGGATGTACACGAACGGAAAGAGGAGATAACCTCTTATCGAGATTAAGTGGCCACTGAGGGATGCGAGTGTGCGCATACAACACTATTTAGATGCAAATGCAGCACTGTACCTTCTCTACAACGATGTTAATGTTACTGTAGCCGATGGCCTTCATTACACTGGCTGCGATGGCATTAAGGAACGACTCGGAAGAGGTGATGAGAGCGCTGAGGGGGACAGCTCCGACTGCCAGGTAGAGGGGGAGGGGGGGGGGGGAGGGGGGAACGGGGAGAGCACGGAGGAGGGGGTGGTTATGAGGAGAGCGGTGCTAGTTGATGGTTGAGAAGGAATTTGCACAGTGTATACCACTGAATATGGCCTGCGTGGTGATGAGAAGAATTCCATCTCAACACTATGCAGGCCATGTTTGTCGCACTGTGCAGAGCGATCTGTGTTGTGTACCAGACAAAGCCTGCAGTTAGCCCCACTGCACTCAACCGCACTGCGCTCAACCGCACTGCACTCATCCGCACAGCACTCAACCACACTGCACTCAACTGGAAATGCCCTGGCAGACGCCAAAGAAGAACTCAGCGTAAGAAGCGCAGACGGACATTGTTGTGGCGTCCGCTGTTGCCCGGGTGTAGTTACCCGCATCTGCACAGTAGGGAAACATACATTCCATATAGTCACATAAAATGGTCAGCGTGCAACGTTTGATATAGTCACATAAAATGGTCAGCGTGCAACGTTCGATATAGTCACATACAATAGGAAACGGCACGTCGTTGAATTTCGCATCACGTAGCAGAGAGTACAGGTCGCTGTTCAGAATTGCAAGAAACGTAGACGGTACAGTCAGCAGGAGCAGCAGGCTGGCAGCTCACTCTTTTCGTACATGTCATGTATATACCATCTCAACTGGGTTGCATGTCATCCATGTACCATTTCACCTGAGTTACATGTCATTTACGTGCCATTTCACCTGAGTTACATGTCATTTACGTGCCATTTCACCTGAGTTACATGTCATTTACGTGCCATCTCACCTGGGTTACATGTGATGGCGCACAGCAGATCCTCTATGGCTTGCCCGCACATCTGACTGCCCGTGAACATGTCACACATCTGCAGGGAGCAAGGGGGTTAAAGCCAAGCATGTGAGAGGTTGCAGGCATCATCAGTCATACTTGGGAGGACACAGCAGATCCTCTAAGGCTTGCCCGCACATCTGACCGCCTGTGAACATGTCACACATCTGCAGGACACAAGGGGAAATGCAGCAACTCAGGAAATACGATATCATAAGATATGATATGGTATGATTCGATACACATCTGACATCCTGTGATCATGTCACACACCTAAAGGCTAGAAGCAGAGATGTAATAACACAGGAAATATGAGATTATAGGATAGGATACAATATGATAAGAAATGTAGTTGAATTGAAGAGACACACGTACCTTAAAGCCCGAGTCTACGAATCCCACCAGGCTCGGATCAATCAGCACCACAACATCCTCAAGGTTCGTCCCCACGAGCCTCATCGCCAAACCTAAGTCACTGCAGTCGGCACAGCACGTCTTATTTGCAGCAGCAGGGCAGCGAGTTGGGACCCTCTTAGGGATTGTTGGGGGTTCTTTAGTGAACGGACATGCAGGGTAGACGACAGGTCCGGGAGGGGGCGGCGCAGGCTCGGGCGAGAGGCCTGGGGAAGGCTCGGAGGACGGGGCAGGTTCGGGAGGTTGGGAGGTTGGGGGGAGAGTGCCGAGCATGCACGCATCTGGATCGGTGACTCGGGTGAGAGAGGGGAGAGAGGAGGAGGAGGAGGAGGTGGTGGAGCGAGAGGAGAGGGAGGAGGAGTAAGAGGAGTTGATTGAGTTGGGAGGGCATGTGGGGGGGATGGTGAGCGGGTCGCAGCAGGCAGTGTAGCGAGGGTAAAGACCCGTGCCGTTGAAGCAAGATCTCTGAAAGGAGTGAAGAGAAAGGGGGAGAAAATGAGTGAGGGAGAGGGAGGGTGGAAAAACGAGCAGGCGGTGTAGCGGGGGTAAAGACCAGTGCCGTTGAAACAAGATCTCTGAAGGGCTGTGGAGGGGGAGGAAGGGAGTGCAGAACGAGCAGTAGGTGAGCCAGCTTTGTATGGAGGGAGGGTCACAGCACAGCAGGCAGTGTAGCGGGGGTGGAGACCCGTGCCGTTGACACAAGAACCCTGCACGAGACAAGGGGGGTTACAGTATGGGGGGAGAAAGAGATCGGGGGGAAGAGAGAACAGGCAAGGTGCTGAGAGTGTGGTCAACAGTGATAGTTAAGTCAGCCGCGACCATTTGTGCCACGCCCATGAGTGCTGCCACGCTCGCTGCCACTATGCCCATGCCGGAGGAGGGGACGGGTCCTGGAGCAGTCATCCCGCGGGAGCCCTCGTACCTACAACCATGGAGGGAGGGTCACAGCACAGCATGCAGGGTAGCGGAGGTCAAGACCCGTGCGTTGACACATGCCGGAGGAGGGGAAGGGTCCTGGGCCAGTCACCCCGTGGGAACCCTCATACCTCCAACCACTGAGACTTCAGAGACCTCTAGTGAGTAACTAAGTGTGGAGAGCAATACACTCACAGTGTTATCTACAGTGATGGTGACGTCAGCCGCGCCCATGAGTGATGTCACGCTCGCTGCCACTATGCTCATGAAGGACGATGGGTCCGGCGCTACTCGACTCATGGATACCTCCCCCACTGGCAGGTGGAGAGGGAGGAAAGGCAAGGGGAAGTAAGGGGGAGGGAGGACGGATTTATTGCGTGGAGGAGGAGGGGTGTGGCGCCACTCGACTCAGAGATGCCGCCTGTGCCACTGGAAAGAAGCGAGGGGGGCGGGCAGGGGGGTTGATATGCGTGGAGGAGGCGGAATGTGGGGTTGACATGCGTGGAGGGGGGCGGAATGTGGGTGTGGCGCCACTCGACTCAGGAATACCGCCTGTGCAACGGGCCGCACAGGAGGCAAGTCAAGGGAGTCACTCAAAGTCAACGCAAGTCAAGAGAGTCACTCAGAGTCAACGCAAGTCAAGAGAGTCACTCATAGTCAACGCAAGTCAAGAGAGTCACTCATAGTCAACGCAAGTCAAGAGAGTCACTCACGGTCAACGCAAGTCAAGAGAGTCACTCATAGTCAACGCAAGTCAAGAGAGTCACTCACGGTCAACGCAAGTCAAGAGAGTCACTCATAGTCAACGCAAGTCAAGAGAGTCACTCACGGTCAATGCCTTGGCAGTCTTCCATCACCGCCTGTGCAAACGCGTCACACACGCTGATCGCCGTGCCTGCTGCAGTGGAGCTCACATACGCGCCCGCATCTGCTCATGGGGGGACGCACAGCAAGTCAGTGGGGTGGTGAAAGGGACAAGGGAATATGGCCTCATTGTCGACTCATCATCGCGTCACACACGCCGATCGCCGTGCCTGCTGCAGTTGCGCTCACATCCACTCCCGCATCTGGTAATGTGCGCACAGGGAGGCAGTAGGGTGGTAGCAAGGAGGGGAGGACACTTGAGTCGACTCATAGTCGCGTCACACACGCTGATCACCATGTCTGCTGCAGTGGCACTCACATACGCGCCCGCATCTGCTCATGGGGGAACGCACAGCGAGACAGTGGGGTGGTGGAAGGGACAAGGGAATATGGCCTCATTGTCGACTCATAGTCGCGTCACACACGCTGATCACCGTGTCTGCTGCAGTTGCGCTCACATACGCACTCGCATCTGCTCATGTGCGCACATGGTTGCGTGGAAGAGACATGGAGGGGGAAAGCAAATGCCGTTTGGGTCGACTGACAAGTGACATGCGTGCAGCAGCGTCGCTCACATACGTACGCGCGCGCATGTGCTTAAGATCGCACAGCAACGCGATGATGAGGACGGGAGGACGAGAAACATAAAATATCTGAGTTTGACACTCGGTTACCACCTGCGTTGCATGTTACTTGATAACCACGTAAATACCTCCTCCGCATTCAGAAACTTTTGAGTCGACTCAAAAGTCCAACTGGAACCCACCTGGGTTGCACGTGAGCGCGCAGCTCAGATACTCCAGCACCTGCAGACAACCCTCTCCTCACCGACTCACACACCTTACCATGTACATGCCACCACCCTGAACCCACCTGGGTTGCACGTGAGCGCGCAGGTGAGGTCCTCCAGCAGCTGCAGGCACTTGGTCTGCCCGATGAACGCGTCGCACGCCTGGAAGACAGGAACGGGGTTGAGATGGGTAAGGCGGGGTAAAAGGGGTTGAGAGGCAACGGTGGAGATGGTGAAAACAAAGGAAGTTCCCAGCAGCTACATGAGCTTTTTCTGGCCAATAAACGCGTCGCACGCCTGGCGGACGGAGGTTGAAAGGGGGGAAAAGGGTTGTGGAGGGTTGGGCAGGAGACAGCGGGGAGGGGGAGAGGTGTTTAGAGACGTCTCAAAACATCCGCAGCCCACCTGTCCGCTTTTGACAGCTCCTGTTTCGATCCTCCAGCGGGTTCAGACACTTGCTCTGGCGGATGAACGCGTCGCACGCCTGGAGGAAAGGAGCAGGGGTGAGGGGGGTGCGAGGCGATGCGAAGCGGTAAGAGGGGGTGAGGGATTGTGAAAGGGGATGGTCGGGGAAACCGTGGGTGGGAGAAATGAGCTTCTAGCGCCACATTCCACAACCACAGTAATGTACATTATGTACATTAAATTGCAATATATACAGTTGCTTCGTGTTTCAGGATGCGAGCGAACCTTGGGGTTGGATTGCGCGAACCTCAACGCCTCGGGACTGACGAGCGACACCAGGTCGCCCAAACTTGGAACGTCAGGCGGCATGATTACCAGCTACAGTAATAAACAGTAAAATGCTGAATTAACAGCCTTAATTGATGAAGAAATGGCGAACCTTAGCATTGGGTTGCACGAAGCTCAGCGCTTCGGGACTGACGAGCGACACCAGGTCGCCCAAACTCGCACTGGCAAGTCCGAGCGCGGCGTTGAGATCCGCGCAAGCTCCGCAGCACGATTGCGCGGATGCCGCGGGGCATCGGGTTGACGCGATGGCGGTTGCGGACGGCGCAAGCCCCGTGTGCGGACACGCTTGGGAGAGCGCTGGCGGAAGCACGGAAGCGGAGGGCTTGGCTAGCGCGGATATTTGAGGGGTGAGAATAGGTGCGGGCTGCGCAAAAGACGTAGGGAAGTAAATTACGACGAGGAAAGAAATAAGTAGCGCGGCTCGAGAAATAAGTGCGGCCCCGATGCCGGTTTTAATTGGGGAGGCTAGTGCGTCGCCGAAGACTACTCGTAGAGCGACGCACGAGAGAAGCTTTCGTGGACGCATTTTTGCGATGAAGGCTACAGTCTAAATACACTAAATTGTGTAGCTCTATTGGACTGGGTTCGAGCTCACGAGCTCCTACAGTGAGAACAAGGTTTTCGTTCCTCGATAGATTTAAGTTCTAAATGCGACGTGTGAGATCATTTTAGAGAGTCCCTGCTTGCTGCCGTCCTAGTCTGTTGAATAGAATACGTGCTGGGGGTTGGGAAATATGTGCTGTGCAGGGCAAGAATACGATTGGCTCGAAATTCAGTGATGAGGCAAGGTAATGAAACTCCCTCCCTCCCTCCACTAGATCGAGAGCAGGGTTGACGATTCAAGAGCAAATGCCCTTAATGCCCTGAACATTAAAGGCTGGGTTCGGCCCAGCTTCCGAGTTTTTAAGGGTTGACTTTGAAGGCAGCCCTTTCCCGCAAAGTGCTGGCTGTGGGCCTAACCCGGATGTCAAGTGCAGATCCCGCGGCTAGCCCTATCGTCCCATACTAATACCTCCCTCGCTCCCATTTGCTTACCAGCCCCCACCTCCTCCCAGCCACTCCCCTACTTCCTTTTCCCATCCCCGTCAAATCCATCGACATGTTTCTTTCCTCAGACTATTGCCTAGCTGGCTCTTAGTAGTTTGCCTAGGATACGGACCCGAAGAGATGTAGGTTTTCCTTAGCGAAAGTGCAGAAAAGCTGGTAGCCCTGATTTCTGTGCCAGGTTTGCTCTAAGCCCGTAAATTTCAGGGCAACTTTTGGGGCACCTCAGCCTCTCAAGTTCTGGCTCCAAACCAATCGAGAGAGATGGTTGTGCTGGAGAAAAGCATGTCAGAATTGGCTGGAGCCCTCGTCTTCGGTTTGACGATGGAGTCCATGCGTCGGAAACTCGAACTCTCATTAATCCAGAAGTACGCTTCTACCCTCAGCAAAGCTTAGCGGTTCGTACGTGCCTGGCGTTTCGGGTTCACACCGAGAGTTTAGCGAGTCTTGGCGACCATACGACCCAAGTCTAAACGGAACTAGTTGGCTCAACAAAAACCGACTGAACCCGCTGGCGGCGGACAGGATTCGGTTGTGCGACACCACAAGTCATGCCGAGCCGCATTTGCAGAGTGCAAAGAAGCTGGCTGACGCGGCTTGTTGCACTTCCCGCTTTTCTGAATTTCTGCAAATTCTGGGTGCGATGATTGATTGGTGAACATTGAACAAGTCCTTGACTGGACTACCAGGCGGAGGACTCGTGACAGGGCCTGTATTTTACCAATTGCGCTAAATAGCAGCAAGAAATTACAGTTGGAAATGACTGGAGGTTATACAGTAAGGAGCAAAAAGTGAAACTTATTCGATATTGCATTGCATTGCAGAGAAACCAATATTTTGCAGTAAAAAATATGAAGATTTATATTCATGTAAAATTTTGTGAATTATTAGTTTTTCTTCTTATACAGTGCCTGTATGGAAAATATACAACGTACTACCTTTTTCACTGCTGAATAACATAGTAAAACTAAACAATACACTTAGGCAAATGCTTGTGCCAGAGTGAGTGCAGTGTGGTGTCAGAGGACTGTCACGTATGCAGTGATTCTGACTCGAAGTGGCAATGCAGGCGATTCGTGCTCACACCGACAATCCGTATTCCCTCACCGATGGCGGCGAACCACAGCTTCCACTTTCCCTGACAGTAGGGATCATACACCAATCACATGCCAGGATCGACTGGTACTGATCTCGCTCGATCTGCTGAAAATGTCTCGCTGGGTCTGTTACCTGATGTCGTTACCAGTTTCGCTAGTTGCAGAAGGGGTAGCTCAACCCATCATGATTCAGAGGCGGCCGAGACGCGACAGAGATCCGCAGCGCATTAACATGACATTCGTGCCGCATTGGTTTGAAGGGAGATAACAAGGAAACAGCTAAGGTACAGAACCCGACCCAGCCCAAGATGCAGGTTTGGTTGAGGTCTTATTTATACAGACCAAATGGTCGGTGAAGGCGCTAGGAAATCCAAACGGTGTCGAGTTTGTATTCGCAGCCAGAGAGTGATCAATTTGTGGTTCGCGATTGTTGTAACAGATCTAGCACCAGACAGCCACAATTACATCTGAACACGCCTGGCAACATTATAAACGAATTCGTCAGTACAGCACATTCAAGTTGCTCAGGAATTAGAGCCCTTCTGGCCTACACACATCTTTCCTTCATCGTAAACTCGTTGGAACCCCAGCAGCTCCGTCGTCACCACATTGCTGCTCCTTGTGCCGGCCCTTCTACTGAAACCGTCCCTTCTCTTCGCGCGTTTCGGGAACTAGTAGATCGGCTCGCACAGCAAAAACTGGAAAAAGAAGTGAACTCATTGTACGAACGAGATCTCAGCTAACCTGCGCGAGTACAGCGCGAACCGAAGAAGATCGACGCTCAAAATGGTCACCGCGCGGCAACATCGTCCGCAGTCTGCGCCGCACCGCCGTCACTCTGCTTCTCCGCATGGCCCCACGCTGCTGCTTCTCCCTTTCCTCCTCCTCGCCCTCACCTGCCTTGACTTCTCCGCAGCACAAAGCGCGCCGACTCCTTCCGCCAGTCCCCCGTCCGCCAGTCCGTCTCCGCCTCCCCCCGCAACTCCGCCGTCCTGCCCGTTCACCGGGCTACAGCCGTCCGCTCCTTCCGTCTCACCTTCCCGCTGCCCGGCCGCGGCGAATCTTTCCTGCTGCCCGGCGTGTAGCGATCTGAACGGTGCGCTACAGCTGGCGTCGGCGAACATGAGCGCGCTTGTAGCGGAGCTCAGCCCCGGCGCTACAGTCGACCCGAACCTGGGTGTGTGCAATGGCTTCGAAGGGCAGCAGCGGTGCCTACAGCTTCTCGAGGACCTCAACTGCGCGTCGAGTTGCAACTCAGGTGGGTTAGAAAGAACCTCGTGAGTATCAGAACCGGGAAGCAAAAAAAGAAAAATCGAAAAAGGGAATATACTTGACGTGTATTACAAAGTCGCAGTTAAACGAACGACAAAGAAGTAGCAATATCGGAAGATATATCATAATAACATTTTGAACAAACTAATAATCACATTGTTTCCACTAAGTATCATCCAGCACTCATACATCCGTGCGTCGTCCTGCTGCGCAGATTCCGGCGCGTACATCAGCGGCACGAGCATGCGCGTATGCTCCGCCTTCGCCTCGACCCTCTTCGACGCGTGCACTCCCGTGTGGAGTAAGTTTTGGTTGGCTTACGGCTTATGACTCACATTGTTTCCAAACCGTGTGAGAGATGTCCTCTAGTTTTGAAACGTCTCGAAACGAGTAAGTGTTGGCTGGCTGACGGCTTATGTCCCACATTGTTTCCAGGTCATGTGAGATGTTTCTTTAGTCCATCGAACGGCGCGCAGCGCCGTACGAAGTGAGTGTTAGTTGACGTGATTTCCGAGATGCGCCATAATGTGAGAGATGTTTCGGGCTCCTTAAGAACAGTGTGCATTTTCGTGTAGAGTAAATGTTAGTCTTCCCACTGTCTATCCTTCATCACACTCACACTTCCCTTCTCTCTCCGGCGTCCTTACCCACCCTTCCCATCCGTTCTCCCTGCCTCTTGCCAGTGGACAAGCTTCAGCTGTCGCAGCTTTACCCAGACGCCTCCTCCCTCCTCGCGTCCTTCGCCAGCAATGTGACGAAAATAATGGGATCTCTGGTTACCACATTCGCGATCGACGATTCGTCGGCCTGTTTCAACGGCACGGGCATCTACCCGCAATACACGGCGTGCTGCGATCCCTACTCCTCCCTCCCCTCCTGCCCTGTCACATCCCTCGACCCTTCTAAGTACCAATCGGTAGTCAATCGCACTATTGACTCTAATAGCTGCATGGGGATCGCTCCCCCGTCTCCTCCTCCAGCTCCCGCTCCCGCCCCCGCGTCGCTCCCCTCCGCTCCGCCCCCACCCCCTGCTTCCCCCGTTTCCTACCCCATCTGCCCCTTCACGGGTAATTACCCCTCCGTTCCTGCGCTTATTCCGCCTGCCCGCTGCCCGGCCGCGGCGAATCTTTCCTGCTGCCCGGCGTGTAGCGATCTGAACGGCGCGCTACAGCTGGCGTCGGCGAACATGAGCGCGCTTGTAGCGGAGCTCAGCCCCGGCGCTACAGTCGACCCGAACCTGGGCGTGTGCAAGGGGTTCGAAGGGCAGCAGCGGTGCCTGCAGCTGCTGGAAGATCTCAACTGCGCGTCATCGTGTTACCCAAGTGAGTCAAATGAAAACGATGTGTTGAAAACTATTTAATAATAACCAAACAAAAACCCGAGCTCGGGCGTGTGCAAGGGGTTCGAAGATCAGCAGCGGTGCCTGCAGCTGGTCGAGGACCTCAACCGCGAGTCGTCGTGTAACCCAAGTGATGAGTCAAATGGAAACGATGTGGAGAAAAAATACAAATATAACCAAACAATGGCCGGGGCCTGGGGTTGACTTTTGAGTCGACTCAAAAGTCACCTCAATACAAATGTAACCAAACAATGGCCGGGGCCTGGGGGTGTGCAAGGGGTTCAAGGGGTAGCAGCGGTGCCTGCAACTCCTGGAAGACCTAACCTGCGCGTCGACACGTAACCCGGGTCACGTACAGTCAGACGATAGCGTTGTTGGTTGCAGGATAACAAACGACATATTGTTTGAATTCGCACACTCTACATTCGTAATACTCATATAAGAGACTTATTCTTCTCCGCCCGTACCTTCCCCCACCCCTTTGCTCCCCTCCTCCCCCGCGTGGCTGTGTGATTAATTCCCAGATTCTGGCGCTTACATAAGTGGCACCACCATGCGCGTGTGCACTGCCTTTGCTGACGCCCTCTACACCGCGTGCAGCCCTGTGTGGAGTAAGTGCTATGTTCCGCATTACCTGCAGGTTGCATTAGGTTCTCCCTTTTTTATCCTCTCCCCTGGTCCGAACCGACATTTTGCACCATTCTTCAGAAGGCAAATCTCTTTTTCTAAGCTCTGCCCCAGCGCCTCTTCCCTCCGCGCGTCCTTTTTGTTACAATTCTGATCAACACCCCTCTCCCACCTCCCACCTTCCCTCCTCCCCCCTCTCCCCCCGCTCCCCACGCTCTTTTTACCCCTTGCAGTGAACAACGTCTCTATCTCTGCGCTCTTTCCCAATGCCTCCTCCCTCCTCACATCATTCGGGGGCAACATGACCAAACTCATGGGATCGAGTGTTACCAACTTAACCATTGACGATTCCAATTCCTCCTGTTTCAACGGCACTGGGGTTTACCCAACCTACACTGCCTGCTGCGACCCCCTCGCCGCCCCTTCCACCTGCCCTGCAACCGCACTGAACCCCTCTAACTTCCCTTCCGATCTGATCAACCGCACCATTGACTCCCAGTCTTGCATGGGCAGCCTCCTTCCCCCTCCTCCTCCTGCTGCCCCCCCTTCCGCCCCTGGCTCTACCTCCGCTCCTTCCCCCACCTCTCCCCCGTCCGCCTCCGCCCCTGGGTCCGCCCCCGCGCCTGCCTCCTCCGCCCCCCCGTCGCCCCCGCCAATTACCACCTTCCCCAACTGCCCCTTCACCAATAACAGCCCGTACCCGCCTGGCAGCGCCATGCCGCGCTGCCCTGCTGCGGCGAATCTCTCCTGCTGCACCGCCTGCCAGGACATTGATGGCGCGTTGAAACTCGTCACTACGAAGCTGGAAGATGTGGTGAAGCGCATTGGCCCAGCGAATTCCGTGGATCCCAGTCTCAAGGTGGGAACCGAGGACAAGAAATGTATCTCTGCAGAGAGTCATTATTCTGCACGTACTCCTATGCCAACTGCATTACGTTGTTGTTTCTTGATTGCAACAGCGATGCCTTTTTGGCATTATGTTATACGTTTCTTACTCATTGGCGAAATTCGAGTTTCTCTTTCGCCTCTGTTTCGTCTCCCTGCTTCGCTTCGTCTCTTGCCTGTTCAGCTCTGCGATCTCTACAGTGACCTCATGTGCGAACAATCAGTGGAGGATATGGTCTGCGCACTCACATGTAACCCAGGTGCGTTACAGCTCAATGAAAATAATTATGTAGCAATATATCTTGCTTCAATACTTGCTATCAATGCTTTTACGCTTTCTTTGTTTTTTTTTCCGTCAGACTTTCATACTTTTTGTCTCTTGCCATACATGTTCGTATTTCAAAATCATAACTCCTTTTCTATGTCGTTGTGCATGCAGATGCGGGTCGATATGTATCAGTAACAGACGGTGCTGTCACCATGGCTGTGTGCCCTAGCTATGCATCCTTCGCCTATGGAGTTTGCAAGGGAACTAGAAGTAAGAAATGCCGAAATATTGTGCTCTTATGGAAGGATGCATGTATGCATGTTTATGTTTTTGTGAGGATGTGTGCGGGTATATTTGTGTGTGTGGGTTCACATTTGCTAGTGAGGATGAGTGCGTTCATGTGTGTGCACACATTTTTATGTTCACTTCTATGCAAGATTCGAGATTAGCACACTCGCCTCCCTATCACCCCCCCTCAACGTGTACCCTTTATAACCCTGTTATGTGCAGTTGGGAACATGACGCTCGAGTCAACCATTCCGGATGCTGCCACGTTCCTCAGCACAGTTGTCAGCAGCATCATTGGCGTCGCCATGGGCATTAGTAGCTTCAACATCACAGTGCAAGAGGTACAATAACAACACGCCAATGAATGTACATATGCATCAACAAATGCACATGCACACATTCACATCTCCACTTAGGTGTAACACATGCACATGCACATGTAGCTATACACTTGCACGTGCAGCTATGCACATACATCTGGATCAAGTTGGCACGCCCATTCACACTCTCAACCAAACCACTCGTTCTCAGGCTGACATTCTGACTCATAACCACACCCGGCCCCCACTCCCCCCCTCCCCTCCCCCGTCCTCCCCACTCACTTCGTCAGACCTCCTGTTTCAACGGGTCCCCCCTCGTCCCCGCCACCCCAGCCTGCTGCGACCCGCTCTCTCTCCCCTCCTCCTGCCCCCTAGGCTCCATAGACCCTTCTAAATACCCCGACGCCATCGGTCGAACCATCAACTCCTCTCTCTGCCTCTCCGCCTCCCCTCCCCCGCCTCCTTCCGCCTCCGCCCCCTCCTCCTCTCCCTCTCCTCCTGCTCCTGCTGCTCCTGGTTCAACCCCTGCACCTCCCGCTCCTGCCAGTTCCCCCTCTCCTTCTCTGCCTCCTCCTCCGTCTGTTCCTGCTGTGCCTTCTTCCCCGGAAGGCTCGCTGACCGGTTCTGAGAATGGCACTAGGCCTCCTCCTCCTCCCTCTCCTCCTTCCAAGGCCGCTCCCGCCACCTCTTCTGCTGCTGTGGCGGCGGCGACGGCGGCTTTGTTGCTGACTACAGTCGCTGTGTTTCTGTGAGGAGTCTAACGTGCCTGCTGCTCTGACTTTTGAGACGTCTCTAAGGCTTTGTTGTGGCCTTGTTGCTGGCTACAGTCGCTGTGTTTCTGTGAGGAGGAGCTTGCTGCTGCTTGTGCTTGTTTGAACTGGGTTTCTTTCTGCGTGCAATGCCCTGAGAGGGCTGGTGCGGGATTGGATTGGGTGGTGGGCGTTGCTGGGTGGTGGGAATGGGTAAGTGGTAACGGTTGGGTGTTGGCTGGGCATGGTTTGGGTTGCTTGTGGGCTGTGATTGGTTGCGAGGGAACGAGTGATGAATGTGTCGTGACTCGGGTGCTTGTGGGTTTGCAGGCAGGAATGGCATGGTGACGTTGGAAAGGTTTTGTAAGTCATTAGACTGACTGTTAGGCGGATAACTGAACTGATAGTCTGATAGGCTGACTGATAGGCTGTCCGAAGAAAGTATCTCCCAAGCGTTATCACCCTAGGTGTCATATGACTTTGGACCTTATACCTTGTTATGCTGAATTCAAGAAACAAATTGTTTGAAAATTCTAGTATTAGAAAATTGCTTTCTTTTTTGGTCAAGATAGGCATGTCATTGGTACCTTGTTACGCAGTATGCCTGTGTTTTGCTAAATACCTATGACGATCTCAGAATATATACGAAGAGTGGGTGACCACTGTTGAAACTACTCATCCAAAAAAACGGATGAAAGGGGAGGTGAGGTGTATAATTCCCCGGATGCATCACGGTGAGGTCAGAAGGGGGAGGCAGGCGGAGGAAAGGTAAAGCATGGAACAAAAAGCAGATGCAGGGGAAGAAGAATAAGCCTGATCCGGTAAGAGGGATTCACAGCAGCAGTGCTGGTGCTAGCAGGGCGACACCGGCAAAGAGTAAGAGAGAGAGAGAGAGAGGAGGGGAGAGAAGGGAGAGCTAGTCCGATGCAGGAGGAGAGGTAGGTTTTGAAGGAGGGGGAGGGGGTCACAGCAGGAGTGCTGGTGCTAGCAGGGTGACACCAGAAAAGAGGAGAGAGGAGAGGAGGGAAAGGTAGGAGGAAGCAGGATGGGAGGACGTTTTTGGAGGAGGAGGGGAAGGGGATGGAGTGGTGGTTGAGGGAGAGGAGGGAGAGGAGGGAGAGGAAGGAGAGGAAGGAGAGGAGGGAGAGGAGGGAGAGGGAGGAGAGGGGGAGAGAGTGGGAGGAGCGGAGGGAGGGGGTGTTGATGCGACCGGGGAGGGAGGGCTGGGAGTGAGGGGAAGGGGAGGAGTGGGAGTTGAGGGGGGAGGAGCGGAGGGAGGAGAAGTGGGAGGAGAGGAGGGAGGAACGTCAACAGCAGGAGCCGGAGCAGGTGCAGGGGAGGATTCAGGTGAAAATTCGGGAGGAGGGGCGGGAGCAGGGGCGGGAGGGGCGGCAGGGGCAGGGGCAGGGGCGGGCGGGGGGAGGATGCCAGCCTGGCAGGCGGAGGAGTTGATTGGACGGTTGATAATGGAGGCATAGCGAGTGGTGTTGATGCCTGTAGCAGGGCAGGTGGCGGGGACGGTGAGGGGGTCGCAGCAGGCAATGTAGGGGGGGGACTGGGTTGTGCCTGCGAAACAGTTGGTCTGGAAAAGAGGGGGGGGAGACAGAGGGAGGAAACACGCTGATAGGTCAGCAGGTAGGCGGGACCGTGAGGGGGTAGCAGCAGGCAATGTAGGGAGTGGACTGGGTTGTGCCTGCGAAGCAGTTGGTCTGGAAGGGGGACAGAGGGCGGGGAGGGGAGGGGTGAAAATGAGCAGAGGGGCATGGTACCAGGGTAACCAGGTAACCAGGTAACCCATGTGCTTGATTGACCAACTCCCTGACACGTGCCATGAGACACTCAGACACCCACTCAGACGTGTCAAGCAATGCCCACACCCACCCACACCCATCCGCACCCATCCGCACCCACTCACCGCTCTCACTTTGGCTGTGAAGCCCTTCACCCCCAGCACTTTGACTATGTTCCCCACCACCATGGACATGAAATTGCACTGCACTCTCATGTGCCTTAACCCAATCGCACATGCCAGGCAATGCCCTCTCACAACTCACCGCTCCCACTTTGGCTGTGAAGCCCCCCAGCACTTTGACTATGTTCCCCACCACCATGGACATGGGGCCATGCACTCATTACCATCCCATGTGTGTCTTCTCCTGACACGTGTCAAGCAATTCCCACACCCACCCACACCCATCCGCACCCACTCACCGCTCCCACTTTGGCTGTGAAGCCCTTCACGCCCAGCACTTTGACTATGTTCCCCACCACCATGGACATGAAATTCTTTGCGTCTGGAATGATGGCTGTCAAGTCCATGCCATCACCAACTGGGGGGGGGTGGATGGAAGTGAGAAAACGCGGAAGCAAAGAAAGAAAGGTACATAATGATGGCAAGCACAGATTAATATGAGAAATCATAAAAGTCACCTGATAAAAGAAGTGTACTTTGAGTTTTTTTCTCTTTCTTTCTTTTCTTCTAAATAAAAACGAAGTCTGCAGTCACCTTCAGTGAAGGGCGTTACGTACGTGACAGCGGCATCTCTCATAACAGCATTATCAGCAGCACCGGTAGCACTGGCACCACACCACACGTTCCTGAGAGGCCCTGGCAACTGGCGAACACTTTTTCAGCAAAGGCCGGGAACACGGTCATGGTGGGACCAGCAGTGGCAGCAGCACTGGTAACAGCAGCACTAGCAGCAGCACCGGTAGCACCGGCATCACACGTACCTGACAGCCCCTGACAGCTGTTGAACACTTTTTTGGCATAGGCCGTGCAAACGGTCATGGTGGGACCAGCAGTGGCAGCGGCAGGGGCGGCGGGTTTGATGTAGTTGCCGGCGTCGGGGTTGCACTGGGCGGCGCAGACCAGATCCTCCATGGCCTGCGCGCACTTGATCTGGCCGGCAAACAGGTCGCAGATCTGCAGCAGGGAGGGGGAGTGTGAATAAGTGGAGGGTGGGGAGGGCGCGTGAAGAGGTGCGGTTGGGTGCAGGGTGTTTGGGGAACGATCAACACCTTGTCCTCCTTGGCCTACACTTGTTCTGGCCGGCAAACAGCCACGTGTAGGGAGGGTGTTTCTGAGACGTCTCAAAAACACCCTCTCTACACGTGCAGGGTGTTTGGGGAACGACCAACACCAGGCCCTCCTTGGCCTGCGCACACTTGACTGGCCGGCAAACAGGGCGCATTTTGTCGCATTTAACCCCGGAACCACCTCACAGAAAGCCCAATTTGATGCTTTGAAATCGCAATTCAGCGAAGCGAATTGAAAGCCTGACGAATGCCATTCAAGTCAACGTGTAAGTATACTCAACGTGAAAGCCATTGTTCCAATGCTTTGCATTCTGCAGCGCAGCGGAACCGAGGCCATCGTTAAGCGGCATGCGAGATGCAATCACAAACCCACCTTGGTTGTTCCGTTTGTGAAGTCCAGCAGCGCGGGGTCGATAACCGCCACAAGATGACTCGTTTAAAGCACGAGAGGCACAACGAGCTACAGTAACCGCACCTTGAGAGTTGCATTGACGAAATCCAGCAGCGCGGGGTCGATAGCCGCCACGAGATCGCCTAGCGTGGACCCCACGAGCATCAGAGCCGAGTTCAGATCCGTGCACGAATCACAGCACGACAGCTCAGCAGCGCCGGGACACCTGGTCGGTGGCACCTTGGGCTTCTGCGGACGCTTCCCCGTCAAGGGGCACGCGGGGAAGGAGGAGGCGGGCGGGGCGGGGGGAGAGGAGGTGGGCGGAGAGGTGGCAGGGGCGGGGGGGATGAGGGGTGCGGAAGGGGACGGGGCGGCGGGCATGATGAGTAGTGGCGGAGCGGGATTTGCGGATGGCGCGGCGAGAGTGGGGGAAGGATGGAGGGCGGCGGCGACGAGGAGGACGACGACGAGGAGCGGAGACGGCGCGCTGCGAGTAGACCGCGCGGTACGAGGAGACGGCGCACTTCGAGAAAACGGCGCGCTGCGGGGAGATGTTTGGATGGCCATGATGGTGTCTGCCGGTCTGAGAACGTATTGAACGGTCGGCGCGTGTGACAAGCGCCGCGAGGGCGACAGTAGCGAGTTTAACAGAAGCGGGCGTAAAAGCAGCTGAGGGTGACAGCAGCGGGTGTATCAGTATCGAGTGCTAGCAGCGAATGCGAGCGGATATCCGGCTGTACTTTAAGACGCGACGCGAGCGATGCGCCGCAAGGAAGAGGTTGCGCAGAGGGGTGCAGGGTGAATAAGGAAAGCCGACAGGACGACAGCACAGACACACAGACAGATAGACAACCAAACCCAATCCAAGCACGATAGCCGTTCTGCGGAATCCGAGGGATGGAAAAAGGAAGAAATGGAAATGAAATTGATGGTGGAGGGAGCAGGAAGGGGCGAGCTTTCTCTGATCCGGTAAACCCTAGCTTTCGGTAGAACCCGTATTTGTAAGTTATTTTCAGAACATTATCCAGATTGGTTGTCAGAGGTCAAAATGAAGCTGTTTGGAGCAAAAGGGTGGCGGAAGCATTGCCAAAAGCATCATGCTCTTCTATCAGACAGTGAAACACGAGGTTACAAACACTTTCTGCTAATGAATGACAGAAGGTACTCATTGGGGAAGATGGAACGACACGAAGGGGACAATTTTCGCACTTGAAGCAGCACAATTCGGTGCCGCACGCATCGCACCCCGCTGGTGGATCGTCGGGCATCTAGGGCTGAAATGGAGAATACACGTGGACGGTTGGAATTCCGAAAGCAGTGCACATGGAATTGCAGTTTGCGGTGTTCTGTACATGAAAGCCTGTTTTCAGTACTCCAAGAAATATTCCTATTTTCGAGGTGTATCTCTTCAAGCACGGCTGGAAGACACGGAAACAGAGTTGTCGGGCAACGTTATTGGCCAAGTGGGTCTGGCGAATTTCCGACTAAGAGACGCAATTCGTTGCGACCACCCTCTATGATACGGACCACGCGATTCGTTGATGTCCCCATAGAACAGCCTCTTTACATGCAGATATTCCATTTCAGCAAATGTTCATACACATCAACCAGACTATCAATACAGTTTAGGAAGTCTGCTTCAACCCCAAAAGCTGAGTCAACTAAACCAGAAGCATTTACCCAAATACAATGCCTACGCAATAAGTGTCATCGTATAGTGTGTCCCCTAGCTAATAATTAGTCCACCACACTAAAGCACAAGCAAAGCCACAGCCCCATAAATAAGGTATCTAACCACCGATGCATAGCAAGCAGCGGACGGCGAGCCTGTTTTGGGAGATGCAGGAGCAGGCGGGGTAGGAGGAGAGGAAGACGACGAGGGCGGGGAAGGGGAGGGGGGAGAAACTGCAGGAGATGGGGAGGGGGTGGTAACCATAGGCGGCGGTGGGGAGGGGGTGGTTTCCTTCGGCGGAGATGTGGAGGGGGACGCAGTTGGGGGCGGGGAGGGCAGGGGGGCTGAACCAGGGGCAGATGCGGAGGGAGGGGCGGAAGGAGTGGAGGCTGCGCAGTTGGCTGGGTCGATGGTTCGGCCAATCAGATCGGCGTATTCGGTGGTGTTGACCGAACCAGCAGGACAGGTGGCAGGGACACTGAGAGGGTCGCAGCAGGCAATGTTGGCGGGGTAGACTCCACTGCTAGTGAAACAGCGAGTCTGAGGGGAGAAGGGGGAGAGTGGGAGGGGGAGGGGGGAGGGGGGGTTGAAAGAGAGGGGAAAGGAGACGTTGAGAGGGTCGCAGCAGGCAATGTTGGAGGGGTAGACTCCACTGCTGGTGAAACAGCGAGTCTGAGGGGAGGGAGGCGGGAGGAGAGAGGGGGAGAGGGGACAATAGGGGAGAGGGGGGAAGGGGGCAATAGGGGAGAAGGGGGGAGGGGGCAACAGGGGAGAGGGGGGGAGGGGGCAATAGGGTGGAGGGGACACTGAGAGGGTTGAAGCAGGCAATTTTGGTTGAGTAGACTCCGCTGCTGGTGGAGCAGTGAGTCTAAAGAAAGGGAGGGTAGGGGGGACGGATGGGTGGGAGAGGCAGAGCAGCACAAGCAAGGGACTGCGGAAGGTTGCAGCAACCAACACTTGTGAGGTAGACTTCACTGCTGGTGACACAGACTGTTTAGGGGGCAGCTACTTTGGAACAGATACGCAGTTCTTAACAGTGATAGCACTGCATACGAGCAGTTACTCACTGTAGCACAGCTAGTACTCATTGCAATACAGTTACACACTGTAGTGAATTCGAACTTGAAGTTGGGTGGGTATGTTGAGGGACTTGACGACATTAGCCACGATGATGTTCATGAAGTCCGGGTAAGATGTAATACAGTTTTACTCACAGTAGCACAGTTACTCACTGTAGTGAATTCGAACTTGAAGTTGGCAATCCCAAGGGACTTGACAACGTTAGCCACGATGATGTTCATGAAGTCCGGGTAAGAGGTGATGAGCCCCGTCAGATCCATACCATCGCCCACTGTTGCTCAGAGTGGGAAGAATGAAAGGAGAGGGAGGGAGAGTAGTTGAGCTCGCGCGGAAAAAAAGGGGGTCGACCATTCGCATTGGTCATTACAACTTTGCAAGCCCTAGTCCACTAAAAAGAGAAAAAAGAATGGGAAAGGCCACTGCAGGCTTTGAAAATGGTGTCCGCGTGTCCACTTAGCCAGTGCATGCAGACGGTATTCGTGGTGGATGAGCCAGAAGTGAAGTTTTGAGGAGCCTAAAATGAAACAAATCCTTACGGGAGAGCGCCACTGCGGACAGTCATGGTGGTGGATGGATGTGTCTGGGAATCTGTTTTTGACGAGCCTAGAAAGTGGAAAAAACTTACAGGAAAGGCCGCTGCAGGCTTGAAAGAAGGTGTCCGCGTATCCAGTGCAGACCGTCATGATGGTGGGATTGCTGGGAACAACGGCGACTGCTTGCATGATGGACAGGTTAGGAAAGGAATGATTACATGGTGGAGAGGTTTGAAAGAGGAATGCTTACGTGAAAGGCCGCTGCATGCTTTGAAGAGGGTGTCCGCGTAGCCAGTGCAGACCGTCATGGTGGTGGAATTGTTGGGAACAACCGCCACGTAGGACCCGGAGTTAGGGTTGCATGTTATTCCGCACAGCAGATCCTCTATGAGCTGCGCGCACTGCGCCTGACCCGTGAATAGATCGCACACCTGCGGTGATTGTTTTGATGAAACAAGAAAACATGGGAAAGAGAATCATGGACAGTAAACCAACCGCTCAGCAGATGTTCCATCAGCTGCGCGCACTTCGCCTGACCCGTGAATAGATCGCATACCTGAGGTGGTTGATTGAGCATTTGGAAGAAATGAAGACGATGAGGAAAGGAAACAATGAAAAATGAGACATGTAGTCGAGATCGTGGAGATTTAAAGCAGAAGCACAGCAGATATCGCGTACGCAAACCGACCGCCGTGCGCAAGACGCGACGGACGGAACTGCCAAAAGTCTTAGGTTTTTATTAGTCAAATCGCTCTTTGCTACTCGCATTATTGTTTTGTCGTGACAAGAAGCAATATCGAAACGTGCTGGTGTTGCCATCAAGTCCGCATTGATAACATACAGCCACTGCAAACGAATTCGGCCGACCTTGAGCTTCTAGTTGACTCAAAACTCGAAAATACAGCCCGCGGTGGGCTCGGCTCACCTTGAGCTTCGGGTCGATCAGGCCTACAAACTGCGGGCTAATCTGCGACACGACGCTGGTAAGATTCGTCCCGACAATCCCGAGGGCCGTGTTCAGATCCGTGCAGTCCGCGCAGCAGGACGCATCGACAGCGGCCATGCATCGCGACGGGGGAACCGCCGGTTTTGTCGGCTGCTTCCCCGTGAACGGGCACGCGGGATATTTCGGCGACGGCGATGCTGCTGGCGACAGGCTGTGGACGTGTGCGACGGAGAGAGTGGCGACGACGACGAGGAACAACAACTGGGCAGCGATTTTCGCCATTATGTTTTTCTTCTTTTTTCCACTCGACGGCCCACACGCTACGAGTACCACCTTAGCGTCCCTTAAGCGACAGCCCACAAAGTTCGGCGACAGGATTCGTGTCAACCTGAGCCGCAAACTTTACAATGCGATCCCTGCACTATGGTCGCATCTGTGTTGTGGTCAAGTAATCGAGGATATACGAGCCTGTTACTCCAGGAGAAGGAATATGCAATCGTCAGCTGAGCTAAGGGCAGATGAGGAACTTGGCCAGAGAATTTCTTTTTGCTACACCGACAGATAAATTATCTAGGTCTGGGAAGGAAACACTGATCGGCGAGAGCGCATAAATGAGCTACAATATTCGTTTCCAGCTCAGTGACTAACAGAATCACTGCAGCGGCATGGTTGACGAGATCGTCGAATTGCAGAACTAGGTAACCTAGCGATCGTCGTCACGGACCGCCGACAGCAGTGGCAGCGAACGTGCTTGCATAGTGCATCTTCTGTCGTTCCAGGAGCTAGGGCGCGTTTTGGTGATCAGAAGGCTCCAAACGAGCTGTCAAAGAGTTTTGAACGGCCAAACAAATATCGTCTGCCGCAACTTTAGATCTGCACCGTTAACAAAAATTTGGAGGCCCGTCAGGCTCAGGTGGTCGACAGGTGTTTCTGACGGTCTCCACCTCCAAATGGCGACCGAAATCCGCCGAAAACTGCCGTGTTTCCTTATGAAACCGAATGAAGAAAAGCGTTTCTAGAAACTGCTGGGCCTCGCAGTCCAATAACATGGATTCCTATTCAACCTCGAGTGTGGCTGGAATGTACACTACATAACCTTGACATAAATGAGATAAGTTCAATCAAATATAACACTCCGCAACTGTTTGGTCTTCATCAGATAGATTGCATCGACACTGGCTGGTTCCACGGTTCAATAACGTGGCAACTTCCCTTCAACTGAGATGCGGTCCATCACGTTACAGTCCGGATTCGGGGCATCTCTTCGGGGGAAAGTAGGAGGAAGCTGATTGTATCACCTTCTGAAGGCTGAGAAATCCGTAGAGGTGGTGGTGTATCCCGGGGGGGGGGGCTTATCAGGCAAGACGTAAGAGCAGCAGACTAGGGCGACATGACTTGTGAGGTCATAGCTGGGTCAAATCACCACTGTGTATGGATCGTTCCTTGGGTCAAAATACAAATGTTGGTTTGCCAATGTCTGTCTGTTCTGTACAGGAGGATCCCAAAAATCCCCACATACTTATACCTCAAAATACTATAAGAGCAAGCATCCCTATGGCCACATAAAGCACATAGCTAGAAAATAAATAACGGGCTGCAATAGCTGACGAGCCAGTTTTGGGAGGGGGAGGAGGAAGGGGGGGTGGGGGGTTCGCCGTGGTACTAGTTGTGGGTGGCAATGGAGGGGGTGTGGTGGCTTGGCACGTAGCCGAATCAATGGATCGATCAATACGACCGCCATATTTTGCGGTGATGTTGGCAGGACAGGTGGCAGGCACGTCGAGAGGATCGCAACAGGCAGTGTATGGGGGATATGCGCCAGTGCCGTTGAAGCAAGGTGACTAGGAAACGAAGTTATGGGCACGAAGAGAAAGGTGAAGTGGGGGGTGCGGGGGGGGGGGGGAGAACGTTTGAGAGAAAGAAAAGGGGGGAAATAGAAGAAAATTAGGTCAGTAAGCTAAGAGATGAGATCAAAACCTTTCAGAACAGTATGGTGCATTGCACATTGGTTGTGCAAGAAAACCTCACTCTGCTTGGCATCCCAATTGAAACAAAACCTTACCACAGACAATTCACGATGAACTTGAACGAAGGGATGGAGGGAGAAACAACACGAGAAACAAGTGGTAGAGAAGTGGACGAGCGCGGGAAAGGGGAAGCACAAAAGAACGTGTGAGAAGCGCTTACTGAAGATATTTGGACCTCAAAGCCCTCGACTCCAAGTGTCTTGACCACGTTTGTAACAATGAGGTTCATGAATTCGTCAGCTGTGGTAACCAGTCCTGAAAGGGAAATGTCACCGACTGTGCTTGGAGCGAAGGGTGAAGTGAACAGAGAAAGGAAAAGGGGGGAATCCAGTGAAAACAAAGTGTGGAGCAAAAGACAATTGACAGTAACAGAGAAGCTTATAGCGGGTCTGACATGCATAAGAACATGCACTAGTAACAAGAAGCAGGCTCATGTGTCTGCCATAATCATATGAGTTACCCTTGCACCCTGAGCAGGACATGAATACTCACAAGCACGGCTCTTGCTCCATGCGAAGACATTGTCTTCCAGATTTGAGCAAACATCAGGCTGTGAGACATATCAAAACTTGGAGAAATTTGAAATGTATACATCCTGATGACATTCACATTCGAGCCCCTTGCACCGTGCGAATATTCTGTCTGCTAGGTCTGAGCACACGTTCATGCTTAAAACGTCTAAATATTTAGAACTAGAAAACTCTTTAAGTGTGAGTGAATATCCTGAAGATACTCACTTTCAAGGCCGTTGCACCATGCGAATACTCTTTCTGCCAGATCCGAGCACACATTCAAGACGACTAATGGTTCTAGTGTCACATACGTATATGGATACTCTGATGGTACTCACAAGCAAGGCCCTTGCACTGTGCGAATACTTTGTCTGCTAGATCCGAGCACACGTTCATGATCACCCCCGTGTTGGATTTTGTCGCGTAGGACCCAGCATTAGGGTTGCAGGAGAGCCCGCACACAAGTTCCTCTAGGAGCTGCAAGCATGGCGTCATGCCTATGAAGATATCGCACACCTGGAGGAACATGAGATGGAGCAGGCGAGGAAGAGAGTCTCATGACGAGGCTTTTGAGTGCATGACTCCGGAATCAGGCTCTTGAGCTGAACCTATGAGGGCCCCCATGGAAAAATTTGCATAAGAGCCGCATCATGCGACAATTGCGCGCCTCTAAGCCTGCCAACGCACCGCTATGCTAGAATCGATCCCATCAGCGATGGTGGGGTTAATCTGAGTCACCACGTCCTTTAGACTTGATGCTACCAGCTGCAAAGCCGTGCTCATATCCGTACAGTTGTCGCAGCATGATTGGTCCTTGGCGGCCGGGCAACGTGCAATCGGAATGGTGGGTTTTTTGGGGGGCAGCCCTGTTAACGGGCAGATGGACGACGCCATGCCTGGGGCAGCCGGCAAGCCCGGCGCGGGAGGCGGGGAAGCCGCCTGTCCGTGGAGATTAGCGAGCGTGGCAAGGACGAATAGAAGAACGAAATATGGACGCCTCGCCATGGCTAGATGTGAATTACGAGCTCGTGAGTGGATTGAATTGAACAGCGTGGATATAATAAGTGGAGGCGCGCAGAATTCAGTAATTTATGCATATCAAGAAAACGAAATTCACACACGACGAGGGCGTGTCCCAAAATAGCCAGCGCCTCCAGCCAATCCACGGCGATAAGGGTCGCTTGCTCTCTAGCGGAGGTAGCCTTGCGAAAACCACTGATTCTGGAACTCGCTATTTGAATCAGAACAACAAGATGATTCCAAATCTAAGTGTGCCTAAAGGATGCAAGCTGTTCAGCATTAGGAACGTCAAGAACGATTCCAGCCTTGAAATTATGGCAAAATCTAAGCTTAGCAGTTATATTGAGAGGAGAGCGCGCCACAGTGCCTGGACACTGGTGCCATACAAACCACAGAGCAGAAAACCATGCAGAGCACATGCAAAACGGGAAGAGAATGCGAATTTATTGGTTGAGATGGAAGAATGTGGAAACAATATTATAAATATTTTAAAAATTAAAAGAGAAGATATCATCCGGTGAAGGAGAAAAAACTCAGATCCACCTATGTACTCTTGTCATGACCATTACCTGTACATGTTGTTGCTTGTTGTCTAGCATAGTCAGATAGCAGGCCTCTGGAGTCGTAGCAACGCACGCTGGCCGTCCGTTGTGCAGCCAGTCAGATTTCATCCGTGGCACGATGTTGAGGGAGAAGGGACTCACCCCTGCCAGCCCAGCTGCCATGTACCCAAAGGTGGAGCTGTCACTCACCAGGAGCAGGTCGCTGGGGGGTGAGGGGAGTGGGGAGAGGTGGGGCATGAGGTGGGTGAGGAGGGTATCAACAGGCACGCTGCACTCCTGCCTTCCAGCCTGACTGCCATGTAGCCAAGGTGGAGCTGTCACTCACCAGCAGCAGATCGCTGGGGTGGAGGGGTGGGGGAGAGGGTGGGTGGAAAAGAAGCAGGCGATGCATGGTGGGTAATAGGTAAACTCCTAACTCCACATGGACAGAAATGAAGGCATAAGCATGATTGCATGAAATAATCCACACGAAAAGAGAAGAAAGAAAAAACCATGAGCGATTCCGGTGAACAGTTCCACATGAACAGTGCCCCTTGAACAGTACAAAATGAACAATACCACATGAACAATATAGACGAACAATACCACACGAACAAAACCACATGAACAGTACCACATGATCAGTAACACATGAACCGCACCACATGGAGAGCAGCCACATCTCCTTGAGAGCTCTCTCCAGTTGCAGCAGATCGCCTGTCTTCTGCTCGCCCTCATGACTCAAACTGCACACATGGAGCGAAGGAGGCAGTGACATGAGGGAAAGCCGTGCTGTAAGTGCCTCAGAAAACAGAGAACAAGGAAAAGGGAGCGGTAGTGATGATATCCTATGAGGTATGATGCAATGACCCTTTTATGATGTGAGAAGCAATTCTCACCTGGTAACTGCAACATTGTAACCCTCCAGTGGTAACCCTTCCACATATGCCTCGTGTAATGCATCCACATAGGAGCGCTTTAGTGAAGCCACCAACGCACCGACGCTGCGCACAGTGCCGGCTCCTGCTGCCTTCCGGATTGGCTCCATATCACTTGAGTTGGCTGCGCTCTATGATGTGGAACAGGACAGCATGGACGGAGATGAGATGTGAACAGAAAAAACTTTATGCGAACGAGACAAGACTGGGGTGATATGTGCTGTGATCATGATGCATCAAACAGAACGACGTTGGGGAGAAGCGTCTCGCAAAAGAGAGGGCAGGGAGGTTCCCCAGATTAAATTGTAATGTTTACCTGGTTGCTCGCCAGAAGTCGCCACTGATCATGGGGCAGTGTGGGGGGGAGCCCATGGGAGATGTTGACAGCACAGTGCAGCACACGGGCAAGGGCCTCACCCTCGTTGCTGGTGGCTGTGGTGAAGTCACGGATCTGATGCACGGGAGGGAGGAGGAGAGAGGAACGCAATACAAGAACGGAGGAAAAAGTAGGAGGGAGCAGACAAAAGACACGGGCAAGGGCCTCTCCCTCGTTGCTGCTGGCAGGGGTAAAGTCACGGATGATGCGAGGGAGAGGAGAATGGAGAAAAAGAAGGAGGAAAAGGGCCCGGCTGAGGAGGAAGGAGCCTCAAGGATAGGTCCGACAGCTTCCTAATACTAATAATAAAACGAAGAGTACTCAGACTACCAGAGTTCCTATCTTGCATTGGACCCCGCCTGGGTGCCAAACCTGCTCTTCCAACCAAGCACTTGAACGCTGAGGCTGGGTTCATACCAACCTGGATGCCGACCCTGCGTTGGTGCGGGGCGAGGTAGGCTCGGAAGGCGCGGGTGATTTCCTCCCAGAGGTAGTTGGCGGGGTGCAGCAGGTAGCGCCCCACGTGCATCAAAGGCAGGCGGTCGGGGAATAGGCGCTCCAGGTCAGCCTGGAAAAAGAGGGGCATAGAGAAGATTAGAGAACAGCAGGAGGGGGACGAGGGAGAAAGGGGACCCGTACTGCTGGGCCACGTGCACCAGTAACAGGTATCCCGGGACCAGCCTCTTGACATCAGATTGCAAGGTGGGGTTCCTTTTTAGAGAAAGGGACAGTGAGAAAGCAACTGACAAGGATCATATGAGAATGTGGGCAACACTTCAGAAGAAAAACAGACTTTGCATGAAAGAGAAAGGGGGCATGGGAACGAGAAGAGAAAGATGGATAGGAAGAGGACACATACATCGAATTCGGACACGAGGTACAAGCCAGGCAGAACGTACTCCTCTGTGAGCAGAGCCAGGAAACGGACGGCTGCGATTCTCTCTTGCTCCTGCGAGCAGAAGAATATGAGATCTGTGTCATTCACTCTGTGCGCAAGGCAGATGGGAGGGAGAGGACGGAAGTAACGACGAAGAGAGAGGAGAAGGGCATGAGATTGTGAGGTGACTGTGAGGGAACAGAAGGTTGCTGTGTGATTATTTGAGATGAAGATTGGTGTGACTCACGAGTAATTGAGGTTGCTGAACACAGCATCAGCAGCATCGTCATCCGTGGTGTTTGCTTCAGGTGCACCTGGTTCTTGAAACGCATTGTAACCCACACGCCTCTTCTCAGCTCTCAGCCTCATGTGGCTGGAGATGGGGCGAACGGGGGAGTGGAAGAACAGGGCAGCGAGGGCATGCAAGGGGAGATGGGGAGAGCAGGACGCTGTGGAATTGATACAAAGGGTCGTTTAAGAGAGCAGGGCGTTGTGCTTGCTCACGGCATACGCTGAGTCTGCTCTGTGGCGACAAAGGTGTTCATCGAGCCACGAAAAAGATAAGGGACATGACATTGAGAAACGCAGATGGTGAAAAGATTACAGTGAAAAGCAAGGCGAGTGGAAGAAAGCAATGCGAGTGCTCACTTGAAGGATCCCCTGTTGAGAGTGGGAGGAGCCCAGGAGGAGTAGGGGAAGGGGTTGCAGAGGAGACGAGCAGGGAAGCACTCAGGGTTGATGAGGAGAGTGCGGTTGGTGAGGAGGGCGTAGGTAAAGGAGGAGACGAGGGAGAGCAGCTGGTTACCCAGGCCTGGAAGAAAGGGTCGGGTGTGTCGTGTGTGAGGGGGAAGGAGGGGTAAAAATGCGGAGAGGATGAGGTAATTGGATAGAAGGGGAGGAGGCAGGTGAAAGAGGAAACGAGGGAGATGAACACCTGAACAGGAAGAGGAGGAAAGGGATTGATGGAGAGGAAAGGAATGGGAGGGAGTGCATATGACAGAGGAAACAAGTGGACGAGATGGAACTTGTATTGTGGCTCTATGTCGGTAATGTCCGAAGAACTTACCACTGTAGTTAGGCTCAACCCAGAGAAGGTACTTGCACCTGGCCACGTGTGCAGCGGTCGCATTTTCTTGAAGGCCCTTGGAACTTCATGCATCGGCAGGAGAATGGTGCACGACGGGAGGCAGGGGAAGCAGAGTCAGCGTTGCGGGGCTTATGCAGTGTTGCTGGGTGTAAACACATTGCATCTGATGTTGGACATGGTAATCAATTCTACAGGTTAGAGTTGACTTGGAGAAGAGGCTCACGAATCATTGAAAAATGCTGGCCAATTGATAACGGGAGCCGTGCATGCTGCATGGAGGGTGGAATAATGCTGCAGTCGCTGCACTAGGGCCTCTGACATGCGTGCCTTGTTGCTGTACGACTGCGATACAGTCACACACGTCAAGGGACAGATATCAATACACCCACATATCGTTAGACAGACATGTCAATGCGTGTTAAAAGCCACACATTTCAACACACGGATATGTGAACAGACACACATGTTAAGGTAACACATGTCAATATGGACATGGGAATGAGAGGAAAGACATGTCCACTCACAAGAATCTAGGAACATCCATATCGTAACACGATGCAACCGTGAATGAGGCATGCAGAAACACATCCATGCGAAGTGCTACATAGAAAGCACACGTACAATACACACACATGCATGCGACCAGATGTAGAAGCCCATTGCATGCATCCGAGCACATGCAGAATCCATACATATTCATGCGGCCATTCAGCCATACAGATCGGTAGTAACGTCGTTCAGACATGCTCCAACAGCGAGCCGGAGAATCAAGATCCGCATTGACACCAGTGCTGCTTCCCTCAGCGGCAACACCGAGGTTTCCATCAGCACCGTTGATTTCAGATGTCACCGAAGCGACTTTGCCGTAATCATGACGATAACGATGATGGCGAGCTCTAAGAGCCGCATCTGGTTCGTACAATAATCGGCGTCCTTGTGCATTCTGAAGCTGCTGGGGAGGAGCTTTGGAAGGATCAGGAGAACCAGCGAATGCGTCGCAAGACCGGCACTTGAGTGAAAGCACGAGACAGGTAAACGTCAGAAGTTGAATAACAAGCTGGCGAAGTCGCTTCAGAAGCCGGATGGAGTTGCCATGAGTCATTTTTTTCGAGTGAGTGGTGAGTGGTGCTTCATTGCAAATCTCGAGGTCAATTTTGCTCAGGGTGGTACAACCAGACAAGCCTGTTTGGGCTGAATGACCAGGGTCGTATTCTGAGCAGTGACAGTTCAAATTCCTCTTTTCAGAATCCGTAGCATTCTCCGTAACACCGAAGGGTTTTGTTCACAGTGAAGATGCCTGTGAAGGTATCCACCTATCAGAGGTGAGCAGATACAGACTGGGAGAGTACTGAACTTTGGACCATATGTGAAAAGTACGCCCTCCTCACAGAGATCTCTCTTTGCTGAACCCTTTCTGTTCCACAATCAAGCAGAGCAAAAATTTTACATTTTGAAAGATTCTCACTGCAAACCGAACAATCTCTGTGCTCTCATAGCTCCCATGGCTGCCAGTGTTTGTATCGTCAATTCAACATGGGCGACTCGCAATTACAACGTTTACAAGCTCCTCATGGCTGAAAGCGGCTTTAGAACAAAGGAATCCAATATACTGCCAGTATGAAGTCACGCCTGAAAACCAATGCCGAACTTAGTCGAGCGTTACCCTAACTTGTGTATGTTCTTGTAGGACATCATTGTCAATTCCGGCGGCATGTCCATAGCATTTATGGTTGGAAGCTTCCAAAGATCAGACAGTGAGCTCTGGCAAAAGTAAGATTGCCACGTTCGGTTTCCAGCATGATCCGCTTTCCTAGTGATGTTGACACGAACGTCATGCACAGGATAATCAAAGTCGGCCAGATGTTTAGGCATTCATACGGCTTATGCGTCTGCCCAAGCTCTCAAGACAGCAACGACTTCGCTCGCCTGTATTGCCGGTAAGGCACACGGATTATTCGACACCCTTCTGGCTCTATTGACCAGCTCTAACATGCCATGGTTTCAGACACAACAACCAAGGTGTGGTGAAGCCGCCTATCATTGAAGTCATTGACGAGAGATCTGCAGTGGAAAAGCTTTTGCGGATGGTTCATGTTCTTTCAGGTGGGCTAAGCGAATTCAACTCTTACATGTTTCAACCGTCAGTCAGTCAGGACTGACCATTACCAACTTGCAGAGGCCAAGAAGCAGCAGACTGCCTCACTTCTTAACGAAGAGGTATGTTACTCGGATTTCTGTTCACAGCATTGATGCCCTCAAGGTCTAGCACAGTTAAGTTCAACTTACAACCTGAGCCATGTCAATCTTACAACCTTACCCTTATTCTTGCAGAGGACCGAGTTCGTGCAATCACCAGAAGCGATTATTGCACCCTTACTAACCATACCCGGCTTGGCCCCTCATGAAGCACAGATGGTATCATACCATGAGTTGTCTATGTGGGATTTAGATTGTTCTGTCAAATGTATACTGAAGGTGCCATATATTTGTTGCAGCTACTTTCCAGCTTTGGGTCTATTGATGCTGTGGCATCTGCAAGTTCAAGCAAGATTGCTGGGGCAACAGGAATTCCCTTACATAAGGCTGAAGCAGTTTCTAGTTTTTTCCGGGATATGTGATGTGACCACCATACTGTGGTACCATACCATAAAGGCTATGGCCTGCTTGGCCCAAGAATATGCATTGCTTTCATGCCATCAACTATGGTACCGTACATGAAAATTATAATTTTTAAACACACGAAGTGTTTTTCAAAATTACGTATTTCGAAAGCGCAGCTGCTTGTAACGCATGTTTTGGCATCGTCGAAGCGCGCTAAACGCCCTTCTCCAACTACAAATCGTGGGTTGGAGCTCATTTCCCTCCACCCACGTCTCTCGTTTTCCAACGGCTCATGCAACTCCATTTTCTCGAGCTCACTTCTAGTTTTACCGTTCAAGCTGGCGAGGACTCGCTCATTACCTAGAGGCGTTTCTCCTTCAACTTTATTAGCCGACATCCTTAACCAAAACCGCTCAACGATGGCTGCGACGCCGACGCTTAACCGTGCTAACAACATCGTTGCCGACGACCCGATAATTTCCGACAACGACCGTAATGCCCGTGAAACGACGGGCGAGCGTCGCAACAAGCGCCGGGCAGACGGCGAAACATCCGCCCCGACCGCCGTGGACGTGCTGTTGGGCGGGCTCGAAGTCAACAAAAACGCCGAGCAGCACCCCCAGCACCCTTCGGCGCCTGTGGCGCCAGTGGCACCTGTGGCGCCAGTGGCGCCTATGGCGCCAGTGGCGAACGTGGCGACACACGCCGCGGACGCGGAGCACGCGCCAGCGGCACACGCCTCCGGCCGGCCGTCGCGTCAGCGCCAGAGGCGCCGTACGGCTGCCTCGTCTGACGCGACGGCTGACCAGGCCTTGACCGAGGCGTTGACCCCGGACCAAGTCAAGGCCCTCCTGTCCCTGTTACAGCAGCACCCCGCTAGCGCGATCGCCGCCGAAACTACACAACCTGCGGCATCTGCATCGGCTAAAAACGACATTGCAAAAAGGAAAAAGGAGCAAAAGGACCATCAACGCGCCGCCACGACAAGGAGGCCGTTACCAGCGCTCCTGAAGCTGCAGCAGTCAACAACGACTCCGACGACTCAGACGACGACGCCGGTGAGGCTCCGAACAACACAACAAATTTCCCCCCCATGGAAAATCTCCCTCCCCTCCCTTGCACTAACCCCACTTTTTCGGCGGCAAACTTCATTGACCCGCTCGTGCGAGCGAAAGTGGAGCCCCTGGAGGACCTGAGGGCTGTCAAATGTTGTAGCCTGTAGTGAGGTTTGTCTTAGGGGGTACAGAAGTTAGGGTTTGTCATATGTACCCCAACCAACATCAATGCAACACTCATTCCTCATTCTGACATGGTATCAGCTAGGTTAGGATCCTGTGGGATCCCGTTCCTCCGTTCTCCGTTCGTACCTCCCGAGCCTGATCCTACCTCTCGTTCGTACCAGTTTCGTAGTTACCGCGCCTAGTACCGAGCCTAGCGTCATCTCCCCCGTCGCGTCACGCCTGTTCCCCCCCCGTCGCGTCACGCCCGTTCTCCCTGTCGCGTCGCGCCCGTTCCCCCCCGTCGCGTCGCGCCCGTTCCCCCCGTCGCGTCGCGCCTGCCTGTTACCCCCCCCCGTCCCGTCGCCCTGTCCCGTCACGTCGCCCTGTCCCGTCGCCCTGTCCCGTCGCCCTGTCCCGTCACATCGCCCTGTCCCGTCGCCCTGTCCCGTCGCCCTGTCCCGTCGCCCTGTCCCGTCGCGTCGCCCTGTCCCGTCGCGTCGCCCTGCCCTGTCCCGTCGCGTCGCCCTGCCCTGTCCCGTCGCCCTGTCCCGTCGCGTCGCCCTACCCCGTCGCGTCGCCCTGCCCTGTCCCGTCGCCCTGCTCCGTCGCGCCGCCCTGCCCCGTCGCGTCGCCCTGTCCCGTCGCGTCGCCCTGCCCCGTCGCGTCGCCCTGACCTTTCCCCCGTCGCGTCGCCCTCCCTAGGCCCTGGCCTGTCGCCCTTCCTAGGCCCTGGCCCGTCGCCCTACCCTAGGCCCTGGCCCGTTGCCCTACCCTACGTCTTGGCCCGTTGTCCTAGCCCACTCTTCCGCTGCGACTGAGTCCTCTTCCCCCCCCGGTTGTTACTCGCCTGTTCGTTCTCACTATGGCGACTCCGCGAGTTCTTCGTTTCGACGCCGACGGTAG